CAATGCGGCGCTCAGCAATCCCATTCTGCTATGGAGAGGCCGGAAGCGTGAACGACTGCTCAATGCCCTCCTGCTGACAGAAGGCCTCCAAGAGGCTAGAGGAAAACTCTCCACCTCTGTCAGAGTGCAGACGCAGGACAGGGAAGTCGGAGCGGAAACGCTCACTAAGCTGGAGACGAGATCTGCGGATCCAAGGGATCAAGACATCAGGGACGTCACCCTTGGTGCGCAAGGGGAAGACCGTGGTGTAGCGCGAGAAGTCGTCAACAACAATCAGGAAGTACCTCTCCTGACCCTGACCACGGACGCGGGCTGGGCCCCACACGTCCATGTGGAGCGTTTGCAAAGGAGCAGTCGTCGGGGGAAAGGAGGAGGAGTGAGGAGCGGCGCGCTGCCGCCCCTCGACACAGGGAAGACAGGGAGGAGCAGGCGAGTCGGGAAGGGGAGGGAGCACCCTGGGAAGACCAGCAACAAGGTCCCGTTTGTGCATGGCCCGAAGGCGCTGCACAGACGGGTGACCAAGGCGGTGGTGCCAAAGGACAGTCTCATGCGCCAGAGAGCGACACGAGCAGGGGGCGGACAGCTGACCTGACGCAGACGCAGACGTAGACGCAGACGCAGCTACCTGAGGGGACTCAGTGGTCAGTGTGTACAGGTCCGACCCCGGCTCTCGAGTGAAAGTAGCCAGGTGACGACCCGTCCGAGCACACGTGCAGTGTGTCACGCGCTCGTAGGCAGGGGTGAACTGGTGAACACCCGAGTCCTGGAGCGCACAACCCGCCACCAAGTTCGTAGAGAACGAGGGGAGGTAGAGACCTGACAGCGTGCCGGACGGGACCGCAGGACAAGGAAGGACAGTGGAGGAGGTCGCAATGACCGGACCCCCAGAGGGGTCAGCAAGGGAGACAGCAACTGGCCGAGCGAGTGGCTCAAGGACAGTGCGGTCACGAAAGAAAGAGCGAGAAGCACCTGAGTCCAGGGTGAAGGTGTGCAGTGCTGCAGTCGACTCAGTACCAGGGGGCACAGACGCACTAGCACCTAGGGCAGCAGCCTCACCATCACCTGGGGTAGCAGACACGCGAGCACCTGGAGCGGCAGACGCACTAGCACCTAGAGCAGTAGGCTCACCAGCACCTGGAGTAGCAGACACGTGAGTACCGGGAGTGGTAGCCTCACCTGCACCGAGGGCAACAGACGTACTGGCACCGAGAGCGGCTGCCTCACTCACAGAGCGACTACCACTACGGCCACCCCGACTGCTCAAACCGGCGTACCACTCACGAGCCTGCTGGAGCAGAAGAGGGCACGGCTGCTGCACCTGTCCACTACCTGAGGCTCCCGAACGACGGACGCCAGAGCGACTACCACTACGGCCACCCCGACTGCTCAAACCGGCGTACCACTCACGAGCCTGCTGGACCAGAAGAGGGCACGGCTGCTGCACCTGTCCACTACCAGGGGCTCCCGAACGACGCACGCCAGAGCGACTAGCGACCACGTCGGCCACCCCGACTGCCCAAACCGGCGTACCACTCACGAGCCTGCTGGAGCAGAAGAGGGCACGTCTGCTGCACCGGTCTACTACCAGAGGCTCCCGAACGACGCACTCCAGAGCGACTACCACTACGGCCACCCCGACTGCCTAAACTGGCGTACCACTCACGAGCCTGCTGGAGCTCCATCTGGCCACGGCAGGAGCAGCAGCAGTAGTGGCAGCAGGAGCAGTGACAGTGGGAGGAGCAAAGGCAGTAGTAGCAGTAGTAGCGGGAGTAGTGCTGGCAGGGCAAAGCTCACCAGTGGTAGGCGCGGAGGGCACAAGACGGTGGGGACAGCGGGGCCGCAGCAACTGCGGGGCAGGGCCAGGTCGCAGCAGGGATCTCCACGGCAGCTGCTGCAGGGTCGGCGGCGGCAGCTGCTGTAATCTCAGCGGCGGCTGCTGCCGCAGAGTCGGCGGCGGCTGCTGCTGGAGGCTCGGCGGCGGCAGCTGCTGTAGGTCGAGCGGCGGCTGCTGCTGCAGGCTCGGCGGCTGCAGCTGCTGCAGGTCCGGAGGCGGCCACTGCTGCAGGCTGGGTGGGGGCCGCTGCTGCAGGTCCGGCGGCGGCTGCTGCTGCAGGCTCGGCGGCGGCAGCTGCTGCAGAGGCGGTGACGGCAGCTGATGCAGGGTCGGCGGCGGCAGTTGAGGCAATCGCAGCGGCGGCAGCTGCAGCAGCGCCCCAAAAACCCTAAAACGGGTGGGGTAAGGGGGAGGAGTGCGGGGGATGGCGAGGGGGGAAGGCGCGCGACCCCCAAGGCGCCAGAACGGTCGGGTGGGCGAGGGGGGACGCGTGCGCGACCCCCGAGGGCGCCGCGACGACCGGGCAGGGCACTCGCGGGCTCCTGAGGGCGTCGCGACGGTCGGGCGGGGCGTTCGCGGGCTCCCCAGTGCATCGCGACGGACGGGCGGGGGGTCCGCGGGCTCCTTAGGGCGTCGCGACGGACGGGCGGGGCGCTCGCGGGCTCCCCAGGGCGTCGCGACACTCGTTCGGGGCGCGCGCGGGCAGCTAGCGGGTCGCACGCGTGAGAACACGGGCCGCGCGCGGGCGGCTAGCGGGTCGCGCGCGCTAAGAAGGAAGCTGGCCGCGCGTGGGTGGCTAGCAGGCCGTGCGCGCGCGGTAGGGAGAGGCGCACGAGGGCGCGAGGGCGCACGAGGGCGCGAGGGCGCACGAGGGCGCGAGGGCGCACGAAGGCGCGCGATAGGGATTGGCGCACGAGGGCGCGAAGGCGCACGAGGGCGCACGGTAGTAGGTAGGAGGCGCACGAGGGCGCGAGGGCGCACGAGGGCGCGCGGTAGTAAGAGGCGCACGAGGGCGCGAGGGCGCACGAGGCGCACGGTAGGTAGGTAGGTAGGTAGCGGTGGGCCCTAAGAACGGTCCTAGCGATGGACCTGCTCTGATACCATGTCAGAATCCCAGTCACTAACCACTGGGATAAAAGGGCTTGTTTATATAGCGGGTGAGTGCGCCCATAACCCCCCAGGCCGACGTGCCTGTAACCCTTCCCTAGGATCATCGGGGATCCCCAGTGGACCTCTGACAGAGGAGCCTGCCCAAGAACCTGCTGAAGGAGCGGGACGAAGTACGGTCGCGGCCGCGCAGGGTCTCCAGAAGCAGAAGAGACTCCAGCGGCCGGGTCCTCAGTACCAGTAGGAGCTCCAGCGTCCGGGTCCACAGCACCAGCAGCAGCTCCACCGCCCGGGTCCTCAGCACCAGTAGCAGCTCCAACGTCCGGGTCCTCAGCACCAGCAGCAGCGCCAACGTCCGAGTCCTCAGCACCAGCAGCAGCTCCACCAGGCGGGTCCGCAGCACCAGCAGCAGCTCCAACGTCCGGGTCCTCAGCACCAGCAGCAGCGCCACCCCCAGGGTCCGCAGCACCAGGAGCACCACTCCGAAGACTGCAGCGCCGTGTGTACCACTCGCGGATCTGCTGAATGGGGGGGAGCTCCTAGGTAGGAGGGGAAGTACCGGGACGAGCTCCAGCAGCACCTCTCCGGAGGCGGCAGTACTCGAGGTACCTCTCCTGCAGCTGCTGGGAGGAGAGGGCTCCTCCAGGTGTAGCACGCTCAGGCTCAGCACCCCCAGACTCAGCACCCCCAGACTCAGCACCTCCAGGCTCCGCACCTCCAGGCTCAGCACCCCCAGGCTCAGCACCCCCAGACTCAGCACTCCCAGGCTCAGCACCCCCAGACGCAGCACCCCCAGGCTCAGCACCCCCAGACGCAGCACCCCCAGGCTCAGCACCCCTAGCAGGACGAGAGTCAACAGCTACCTCGACAGGCTCACCCGGGTCTACCTGGGACACACCTGAGGGAGCGGCACCCTGGAGGGGGTCTGGTACCTCAGCACCTGGAGCGAGGAAGAGAGGCGGGGGGGGGAGCGGGGCAGTGCGGTAGGGGACGGACTCGTCAAAAGTGACGTCCTGAGAGGCCAGGACACGACGCGAGGTGGGGTGGTAGAACTGCCAGCCAGGGGCGTCCGGGACAAAGCCAAGGAAGACGCAGGGGACAGCGCGACGGGAGAGCTTGTCCGCGGACGTGTCGCGGACAAAAGCTCGGGATCCCCAGACCCGAAAACGCGACGCATCGCCAGCCTCTCCCGTCCAACGCAGTGTCGGAGAAGTCTTGGGCAAGGAGACACAGGGCCAGAGGTTGAGCTGATGCGCAGCGTATCGGACTGCAAACGGCCACAGAAAATGGGGGGCAGCCGCATGGCTCAAGGAGGTACGAGCGACCTCCATGACCAGACCAATGCGGCGCTCAGCAACCCCATTTTGCTGTGGAGAGGCCGGAAGCGTGTACGACTGCTCAATGCCCTCCTGCTGACAGAAGGCCTCCAATAGGCCAGAGGAAAACTCCCCACCTCTGTCAGAGTGCAGACGCAGGACAGGGAAGTCGGAGCGGAAACGCTCACTGAGCTGGAGACGAGATCTGCGGATCCAAGGGATCAAGACATCAGGGACGTCACCCTTGGTGCGCAAGGGGAAGACCGTGGTGTAGCGCGAGAAGTCGTCAACAACAATCAGGAAGTACCTCTCCTGACCCTAACCACGGACGCGGGCTGGGCCCCACACGTCCATGTGGAGCGTCTGCAAGGGAGCAGTCGTCGGGGGAAAGGAGGAGGAGTGAGGAGCGGCGCGCTGCCGTCCCTCAACACAGGGAATACAGGGAGGAGCAGGCGAGTCTGGAAGGGGAGGGAGCACCCTGGGAAGACCAGCAACAAGGTCCCGTTTGTGCATGGCCCGAAGGCGCTGCACAGACGGGTGACCAAGGCGGTGGTGCCAAAGGACAGTCTCATGCGCCAGAGAGCGACACGAGCAGGGGGCGGACAGCTGACCTGACGCAGACGCAGACGTAGACGCAGACGCAGCTACCTGAGGGGACTCAGTGGTCAGTGTGTACAGGTCCGACCCCGGCTCTCGAGTGAAAGTAGCCAGGTGGCGACCCGTCCGAGCACACGTGCAGTGTGTCACGCGCTCGTAGGCAGGGGTGAACTGGTGAACACCCCCGTCCTGGAGTGCACTACCTGCCACCAAGTTCGTAGAGAACGAGGGGAGGTAGAGACCTGACAGCGTGCCGGACGGGACCGCCGGACAAGGAAGGACAGTGGAGGAGGTGGCAATGACCGGACCCCCAGAGGGGTCAGCAAGGGAGACCGCAACTGGCCGAGCGAGTGGCTCAAGGACAGTGCGGTCACGAAAGAAAGAGCGAGAAGCACCGGAGTCCAGTGTGAAGGTGTGCAGTGCTGCAGTCGACTCAGTACCAGGGGGCACAGACGCACTAGCACCTAGGGCAGCAGCCTCACCAGGACCTGTGGGAGCGGACGCACTAGCACCTAGAGCGGCAGCCGGACTGGCCTGAATGCCCGGGTCGGGCGGAACACGCAAGTACTGAGCACCCTCTCCACTAATAGACATCGCATACATGGCAGTGAGAATAGCATCAAAGTCTAGAGCCCAAATATCAACACCCCTCTTTTCCAGCTCAGCCCAGCGCGGCAGCTCAGTGGCAGTAGGAAACTGGGTGCGCCACGCGTCGTTAAGGCGCGCGAAGCAGCGCTGCGTGGGGTGCGGCCTCCCACACTGCTGGCCGCTGCGGTCACCTGTGCGAATAACGTACGTGCAGGTAACGCCACGCTGCGCATACCACTCACGGGCGGCCTGAAGCGTCGGGGCGGGCTGCTGACTCTGCCCTCCGCTAGTGCCTCCACGACCACCACCCCCACCGCCTCCGCCCCGGCCACCTCCACCCCTGCCGCCACCACGACCACCTCCGCCCCCGCTGCCGCCTCCGCCCCTGCCACCACTCCCGCCGCTGCTGTCTCCTCCCCCACTGCCGCCACTGGCCTCCTCAGCCGCGCCTCCACTCCCACCGCCTCCACCCCCACCTCCTCCGCCGCCACCCCCACCCCTGCCCCCCTTGTTCCTGCGGCGCCCGCTCGAAGCAGACGCGGTCCCGACCTTCTCAGCACCGAGGAGGTCGACAGCAGCAGCAGAGGCGACAGAGGGGAGGAGGGGGGAAGGGGAACACCCCTCAAAGAACGGGGTGCGGGGGTCGCCACGAGAGGTGCCTACAGCGACGATGCTCGCCTCAGCTGCAAGCAGTTCCTTCTCGAGGAGGGCAACAGTGAGCTCAGTGGGGGAGCGAGAGAGGAAGTGGTCCCTGACTGCGCGCAGAGAGTCAGGGAGGCGGGTGACGATGTGGTAGAGAGTGATCCAGAGCGGGGGGGGGTTGCTAGTGAGAAACTCGGCAGGCATAGCAGCGCGAAAGCGGGCCTCACTAGTCTTAAGGTGGGTGATGAGGTCTGCGACAGTGTGAAAGGAGGCTAGGTCGGGGAACAGGTAGGGGAGAGTGAGGCGGCCTAGCGTGGCAGAAGCGGGTGAGGAGTAGCGGGCAACTACAGCTGTGTAGAGGTCCTTAGCAGTCTTGCACTGGCCGAAGTGCTCGCGCTCGTCTAGCGGCAGGGAGTTGCGAATAGCAAAGCGAGCGTGCGCATCACGGGTCTGCCACTGGGAACGCAGAGTGCTGTCAGCAGACGAGTCAGGGGCAGTGGCATGGCCTAGGGCGTGGTCGTACAGTGAGATATCTTCCTTGGCAGTGAGCTGTAAGAACAGGTGCAGGTCATCTAGCCAGGTTTCGAACTTCACCGGACGGCCCTCGGCATCGAAAGCTAGAACGGGAGGACTAGCCATAGCGACAGTGGCAGCAGTGTGCGCTGGAGGTAGAAAATAAGCAACAGTGAGAGCGAGTGCCTCGCGGGCGGCGGCTGCAGAAGCGCACGGGCGGCAGCGGCGCACGGGGAACGGCGGTGCACGGGCAGCGGCGGCGCACGGGCAGCGGCAGTGAGGGGCAGCGACGGCGCACGGGCAGCGGCGGCGCACAGGCAGCGGCGGCGCTCGGGAGGCAGCGGTGCGCAAGCAGCAGCGGAGGCAGCGGCGTACTAGCGGTTGCGGGCAGCGGGGCGTGCGCGAGCAGGCGACGGGCGGCTGCGGGGCGTGTGCGAGCAGGCGACGGGCGGCTGCGGGGCGTGCGCGAGCGGCTGCAGGCAACGGGCGTGCGGCACGCGAGTGGCGCTGGCGGTGCGCGGGCCGGCAGCGGGCAGCACGCAGGCCGCGCGGGTGAAGTGCGGGCTGCGTGGGTCGGTAGCGGGCGGTGCGCGGGCCGACGAGGCCGCTAAGGGGCGAGCGGCGGGGTCGTTAGAGGCACTAAGGGGCGGCGCGACGGGGCCGTGAGGGGCCTCTAGGTCAAATGCGACGGGGCCGCGGGGCCGAAAAAAAAAAAATAATGAAGCGCTCGAGGGCGCTACGGGGGAGGCGCTAAGAACGCGCTCCGGTAGTAGGTAGGTAGGTAGGTAGGTGGGCCCGAAGGACGGTCCTAGCGAAGGACCTGCTCTGAAACCATGTCGAAATAACAGACTGGAATGACTGTACTAACAGAAGGTTGGATACAAATAGGAAACCCTAATCTAGTGTACCCCCTAAGGTGTAACCCACTACAGCCTACAATCATATAAACATATAATGTTTGACAAGCTGCTGTGGTGAGAGAGGCTCTGGCCGACGAGACCGCTGTGGCGAGGCACCTGTAGGACCTCCATACCAAACTCAGTACCCTATGGGCTCGACACTCCTAGGCTCAGCACACCTAGGCTCCGCAATCCAAGGCTCAGCACCCCCAGGCTCCGCACTCTCAGGCTCAGCACCCCCAGGCTCCGCACCCTCAGGCTCAGCACCCCCAGGCTCCGCACCCTCAGGCTCAGCACCCCCAGACTCAGCACCTCTAGGAACACCACCCCCAAGAGCACCAGAGTCGACAGCAACCGGCTGCAGAGGCGGCGAAGACGGTTGAGGTAGAAAACCCGGAGGGGTCTCCAAGCGTGGTGAGTGGCCAGGGGCCGCCGCGTCGTCAGCAGCAACATCACCCCCCCTCAGCTGGACCAGAGGTGTCGGAAGTGACCTTGAAAGGCTCAGCCAAGGGGAGTGGGTCTACCTGAGACACACCTGAAAGAGCAGGACCTTGAAGGGGAGGGGGTCTACCGGAGGGGGACCAGGAGCGAGAAAGAGCTACGGGGGGGGGGGGAGAGGGGTAGTGCGATAAGGGAAGAGACGGCTAAAGGGAACCGACTCGTCAAACGTGACGTCCTGAGAGGACAGGACACGGCGCATGGTGGGGTGGTAAAATTGCCAGCCAGGCGCGTCAGTGGGAAAGCCAAGGAAGACATAGGGAATGGCGCGGGAGTAGAGCTTGTCTGCGGAGGTATCGCGGATAAAGGCACGAGAGCCCCAGACCCGGAAAACCGGCACATCGCCAACCTCCCCCATCCAACGCAGTGTAGGCGAGGTCTCCGGCAAGGAGACACGGGGCCAGAGGTTGAGCTGATGTGCAACGTACCAGACCGTAAACGGCCACAGAAAATGGGGAGCAGCTGCATGGATCATGGAGGTATGAGCCACCTCCATGACTAAGCCAATGCGGCGCTCAGCAATCCCATTCTGCTGCGGGGAGGCCGGAAGCGTGAACGACTTGATAAAACCCTCTCCACGACAAAAGTCCCACAGGAGGTCGGAGGAGAACTCACCACCCCTGTCAGAGTGCAGACGCAGGACAGGAAGGTCCTGACGGAACTGCTCGCGAAGCTGGAGACGAACAGTGTGGATCAAAGGGATAAAGACATAAGGGACCTCCCCCTTACTGCGCATGGGGAAGACCGTGGTGTATCGACAGTAGTCATCAACAACCAGCAGGAAGTATCGCTCGCGGTCATGTCCACGGACGCGGACGGGGCCCCACACGTCCATATGGAGAGTCTGCAGGGGAGCAGTCGTCGGGGGAAACGAGGAGGAGTGAGGAGCGGCGCGCTGCCGCCCCTCGACGCAAGGAAGGCAGAACAGGGCAGGCGAGGACGGGAGGGGAGGCAGAGACCTGGGAAGACCAGAGACAAGGAAGCGAGATTGCTTGCCACGGAGGCGTGGCAGGGAGGGGTGACCAAGGCGGTGATGCGAAAGGAGAGTCTGGTGCGTGCGGAGGCGACACGAACTGGGGGCTGCTACCTGACCTGACGCGGACACCTGACCTGACACAGCCCCCGGAGTAGGCTCAGTAGTCAGTGTGTACAAAGTCGACCCAGGCCGACGTGTGAACGTGGCCAGGTGACGGCCCGTCCGTGTACACGTGCAAATCGCCACACGATGACCCCCAGAAGTGCTGGTAGTGACCATCGCATCCTGGAGGGCAGCGGTACTCACCAAGTTCGTAGAGAACGAGGGGAGGTGAAGACCTGACAGTGAGCCAGACGGAACCGCCGGACACGGGAGAACAGTGGAGGAGCGTGCAAGAACTGGCCCCCCTGAGGGATCAGCCAGAGAGACTGTGACTGTGGTACTGTCGCGAAAGAAACAGCGCGAAGCACCTGAGTCAAGCATGAAGGTGTGCAAGGCCTTAGCAGGCGCAGTACCAGAGAGAGCAGATGCACTAGCACCTAGAGCAGCAGCCTCTATACCGGCCTGTGTCAAGCGGCACATCAGCTAATAGTCACCCTCAACACTGACAGTTAAAGTATACATGGCAGCAAAGATAGCATCATAGTCAAGAGCAAAGATATCGACATCGTTCCTAAGCAGCTCTAACCAGCGGGGGAGCTCAGCCTCGTCGCCAAACTCTGCGCGCCAGGCGTCGCCAAGATGGGAGAAGCAGCGGTACTGTGTATGACCAACCTTCTCGCATGGCTGACCAGCCTGATCACTTGTGAGAATGACGTACGGGTAGCGAACACTACCCCCAGGCGCCCCATGCTGAGCAAAGCACTCACGAAGTTGCTGGGGCGTAAGGGTCTTGCGCAGAGGCTGCTATTGCCTCTAGCCACCGCCAGAATCTCCCCTCTGAACGGCTCCACCACGACCGTCACCACTGTTGCCGCCACCACTCCCACTGCCGCCACCACCGCCGCCACCACCACCACCACCACCGCCGTCACCGACGCCTCCACTCCCACCACCACTCCCACCGCCACCACCGCCGCCACCGACGCCTCCACTCCCACCACCACTCCCACCGCCACCCCCACCGCCACCACCACCTCCACCACCGCCTCCACCGCTGCCACCTCCACCACTCTTGCCTCCCTTGCCCTTGCCGTTGCGGCGCCTCCCACTAGGAGCAGACGCAGCCCCGACCTCCTCAGCACGAAGGAAGTCAACAGCAGCAGCAGAAGCGACAGAGGGGGCAAGGGGGGAGGGGGAACACCCCTCAAAGAAGGGAGTGCGAGGAGTGCCACGAGAAGCACCTACAGCGACTATGCTAGTCTCAGCTGCAAGGAGGTGCTTCTCGAGCAGGTCGACAGTGAGGTCTGTGGGGTCAAGGGCGAGAAAGAAGGAGGTCCCTGACTGCGTGAAGAGAGTCAGGAATGCGGGTGACGAGGAAGTAAGGAGTGATGTACGTGGGGAAAGGGTTCTTGTCTAGAAACTCAGTTTTCAGCGCAGCGCGGTAGAGAGTGTCGCTAGTGCGAAGGTGGGTGATGAGGTCGGCGACTATGGGAAAGGCTGACAGCTCGGGAAAAAGGTAGGGCACTATAAGTCGGCCGAGAGCAGCAATGGCAGGGGAGGAGTAACGAGCAACTACAGCGTCGAACAGTGTTTTAGCTGTCTTGTGCTGGCCAAAGTGCGCCCGTTCGGCTAACGGCACGTGGTTGCGAATGCCGAGGCGAGCAGTAGCGTTACGAGTAAGCCACTTGTTAGAATCAAGCAGCAGGAATGAATGAACTAATAGGATGCAGGAGTACAAGTAGTAAACCCTAATTGGGTTGTACCCCATATGGGCTACCTCACTACAGCCTAGACAATATGCAGCACATATAGTTTGACACACCCCCATAGGCAAAGTGGGGGAGAAAAAGGGGTCACACGACCAGTCAAGAGAAGCAAAACAAGCTCAGGGTGGATCACAACGTCACCACGCATTCCGAGCACAAGCAAAGGGCCACAGGGCCAGTTCACATGCAGAGATATATATGCAGCAATAACAGTACAGTGATGGCTACCTAGCAAGAGCCAGCATGCATATATATATATATATATATATATACATAGATCACAGTACAAGCAGAGACTACAGCAAGTGTGGAAACGTAGGCACAAGGCCCAACAGAGTACAAAAGCGCTGATGATCACCAGACGGAAGTGCCTTGGTGAATATATCAGCAGTGTTGGCCCGAGTGGCCACGTGACGAAGACGAAGCTGGCCTCGCTGCTGCAACTCTCGAGCCAGGAAGTAACGCAGAGCAATGTGCTTCGTTCTGTGCTCCAGTCTGTGCTCCTCACACAAGGCAATGGCGGCCTTGTTGTCGACGTACAGCACTGGAGGAGAACGAGGCTGCTCTCCCAAGTCAGTCAGCAGGTAGGTGAGCCAGCGTAACTCCTGTGCAGCCATGGCTGTGGCGTAGATCTCAGCCTCACAACTGGAGCCGAGAACTGAAGACGAGCGTGTAGAACGCCACGAAACTGAACCAGAGCCAAGGCTGAAGGTGTAACCCTGTGACGACCGCTGAGTAGCCAGGTCGTCAACCCAAGAAGCGTCTGAGTGTCCAGTGAGGACAACTGGGCTCGTCCCTCCAAGCACTAGCCCCATGCCTGATGTGCTGCACAAGTAGCGCAGTACCCTCTTAGCAGCAGCCATGTGCTCAGGTCGGTGCCGACCAGGAGCCACGTAGCGAGCCAGAAGACCAAGAGGGTACGCGAGGTCAGGTCGAGTGCAAGTCATCAGGTACATGAGGCAGCCAACTAGCTCTGGGTAAGGACCACTCGGCTCTACGGACTCGTCCGAAGGTGGAGCTGAGAGCGTGTGACCTGTAGCCAGAGGAGTGGCCTGTGCTGAAGACCAGGTGAAGCCGAAGCGCTGAAGGACCTGCTGCACCATGTGTGACTGAGTCAAGGTGATGGTGCGGCGTGCTCTGTCCCGGGTGATCTGCAAGCCAAGGTAACTGCGCAGCTCACCCAAGTCTGTGCACGTGTGTCTCTTCTGCAGCTCCGACTTCACGTGGGCGAGAGCCTCAGTGTCAGCAGTGGCAAAGACCAAGTCGTCGACGTACACGAGGATGTAGAACGGCGGCAGAGAAGTGTCGGTGCGCAGAAACAGCGACGGGTCAGCAGTAGAAGGCGCAAACCCAAGAGCCGCAAGCGTAGTCCTCAGTGTGTCGTGCCACTCACGTGGCGCCTGGCGGAGACCGTAGACCGGCCGCCGGAGGCTCCACTGGGTGCCAGGAGGGAACGACCCAGTGAAGCCCGGGGGGCGGCGCAGCCAGATCTCCTCGTGCAGGCTGCCCTGTAAGAAAGCTGTGCTGAAGTCAAGAGAGTGAAGCTCGTAGTCACGGTGAGCAGCAACATGCAGCAGCACCCGAAGAGTGGTCATCTTCGGGGTGGGGGAGAAGGTCTGGAAGAAGTCAACTCCCTCTCGCTGACTGAAGCCTCGAGCCACGTAACGCGCCTTGAAGACAGGCGGAGAACCCGGCGGCCGCTTCACCCTGAAAATCCACATGCCACTGACGATGTTCGCCCCAGGTGGGGGAACCTCGTCGACATAGGTGCCTGTGGACTTCCAGGAAGCCATCTCTGCGTCTATGGCTGCCTGCCACTGAGAGGAGTAGGGACCCTCTATCGCCTCTGCGTAAGAGCGCGGAGTCGGGATGTCTGGTGCATCCGGGTCTCCCTCAGGGGCAAGTAGCGAGGACACAAGATGAGGTAAAGCAGCAGCAAGACACTGGAACTCCTCCTGCCTGTCCTCAAGGACGTCCGTGCTAAGAGCACACTCACCCCCGACGGACGGAGGACAGACAGACTCAGACTCAGTAACAAGACTGGCAGTGAAGTCTAGACGACAGGCAGCAGCAAAGTCAACAAGCTCAGCGACAAGAGCAGACGCAGCAGCAGACTCAAACGACGGGTCAGTGACAATAGTGGCTAGGAGACGCGTGACAGTAGGGTGCTCAGCACGAAACCGGTCAGACGCAGGGTCCGGAACGTCAGGCAACGAGGACGCAGGAGGAGACGGCAGAGGAACAGGCTGCGGAGCAGAGGAAGGACGACGGACTACGAGGTGTGCGCTGGGGACAGCCGGCTGACGCGAACGAGGAACACGACGACCGGTACGACTAGGACGAACAGGCGAAACAGGACGCGACGCAGGCTCACGACGCTCAGCAGGACTACCAGTCTGCACAGTGTAAGGAGAAGGAGCAGGCAGCGGTGAGCCGGGCTGTAACGGAAGACCAGTGGACGACGGGAGAGTAAGAACCTGACGAAGAACAGAGTCAGACGGCGGCAGAGACGACGGAGACGGCGGAGCAAAGAACAGTCGTGTCGGCGCAGCTGCACCAGGAGCGGCAGCTCCAGCAGCTCCAGTGCCTCCAGCAGCTCCAGTACCTCCAGCAGCTCCAGAAGCTCCAGTCCCAGAGCCGACACCCCCAGCCCCAGGGTCTCCAACCTCTGTGTCTCCAGCAGCAGCACCCCCAGAACCAGCACCTCCAGTCCCAGTGTCTCCAGCAGCAGCACCCCCAGAACCAGCACCTCCAGTCCCAGGGTCTCCACCCTCTGTGTCTCCAGCAGCAGCACCCCCAGAACCAGCACCTCCAGGCCCAGGGTCTCCAGCCTCAGTGTCTCCAGTAGCAGCACCCCCAGAGCCAGCACCTCCAGTCCCAGGGTCTCCAGCCTCAGTGTCTCCAGTACGAGCACCTCCAGAACCAGCGACTCCAGCACCTCCAGTAGACAAAGGTCCAGCACCACTCCTAGCTCCAGCAGCGCGACGCTGACGGCGACCGTACCAGTCCTGCAGCTGCTGTGGGGTGAGAGGCACACGTGGACGAAGGCAGCTACTCCAAGGAGACCGCGCAACAGCAGACTCAGAACCCTCAGCGCCCGCACCCCCAACGGCTCCAGAACCTCCGGTGTCAGTACCCTCAGCACCTGCACCTCCAGCGGCTCCAGAACCTCCAGCGCCAGCACCCTCAGTAGCTCCAGAACCTCCAGCGTCAGTACCGCCAAGCTCAGCACCCCCAGACCCCTCACACTCAGGCTCAGCACCACCAGGCTCCGCACCCCCAGGCTCAGCACCCCTAGAAGTAGCACCCCGAGAAGGACCACCCTCAGTAGGACCTGAGTCACCAGTGACCTCAACCGGCGCAGTCAAGGGAGGAGGGTCTACCTGAGAAACACCTGAAGGAGCAGGACCAGGAGTGGGGAGGGGGTCTACCTGGGGAGCACCTGGAGCGAGGAAGAGCGGCGGGGGGGGAGCGGGGCAGTGCGGTAGGGGAAGAGACGGTAAAAGGGAACCGACTCGTCGAACGTGACGTCCTGAGACGCAAAGACACGGCGCGAGGTGGGATGGTAAAACTGCCAACCAGGCGCGTCAGGGACAAAGCCAAGGAAGACACAGGGAACAACGCGGGCGGAGAGCTTGTCCGCGGTGGTATCGCGGACAAAGGCACGAGCACCCCAGACCCGGAAACGCGACGCATCACCAACCTTCCCCATCCACAGCAGTGTGGGCGAGGTCTCCGGCAAGGAGACACGGGGCCAGAGGTTGAGCTGATGCGCGGCGTACCGGACCGCAAACGGCCACAGGAAATGGGGGGCAGCCGCATGGATCATGGAGGTACGAGCGACCTCCATGACTAAGCCAATGCGACGCTCAGCAACCCCATTCTGCTGTGGAGAGGCCGGAAGCGTGAACGACTGGGTGATGCCGTGCTCCGCACAGTAGGCTGCCAAGAGGTCAGAGGAGAACTCACCACCTCTGTCAGAGTGCAGACGCAGGACAGGAAAATCCCGCCGGAACCGCTCGCGGAGCTGGAGACGAACAGCGCGGATCCAAGGGATCAAAACATCAGGGACGTCCCCCTTGCTCTGCAAGGGGAAGACCGTGGTGTAATGCGTGTAGTCGTCGACGACCAGCAGGAAGTACCGCTCGCGGCCCTGTCCCTGGACGCGGGCTGGGCCCCACACGTCCAGGTGGAGCGTCTGCAGGGGAGCCTCTGTGGGAGGAAACGAGGAGGAGTGAGGAGCGGCGCGCTGCCGCCCCTCGATGCAAGGAATGCAGGGCGGCGCAGGCGAGGGAGGGAGGGCAGGCAGAGACCTGGGAAGACCAGAGACCAGGGAGCGAGAGTGCATGCGACGCAGGCGAGGCAAGGAGGGGTGACCAAGACGGTGGTGCCACAGGAGAGTGTCGTGCGACAAAGCGCGACACTCGCAGGGGGCCGCCAGCTGACCAGACGTAGACGCAGACGCAGCTACCTGAGGGGACTCAGTGGTCAGTGTGTACAGACTCGAGCCAGGTGCACGGGTGAACGTGGCCAAGTGCCGGCCCGTCCTAGCACACGTACAGTGAGTCACTCGCTGACTCGCAGGAGTGAACTGGTCAACCTCCCGATCCTGGAGGTCAGCTCCACTCACCAAGTTCGTAGAGAACGAGGGGAGGTAAAGACCTGACAGCGAGCCGGACGGGACGGCCGGACACGGCAGAACCGTGGAGTAGTGGGCAAGGACTGGACCCCCGGAGGGGTCCGCCAGGGAGACTGGAACTGGCCGACGAAGCGGCGTGAGTGTGGTGCAGTCGCGAAAGAAGGAGCGAGAAGCTCCTGAGTCAAGGGTGAAGGTGTGCGAGACCGTAGTTGGCGCAGTACCAGAGAGAGCAGACTCACCAGCACCTGAAGCCACGGCCTCACCAGTACCTAGAGCAGTAGACGTACTAGCACCGAGAGCAGCAGCCTCACCAGCACCTAGAGCAGGAGACGCACTAGCACCTAGAGCAGCAGCCTCACCAGGGTCAGGCGGTACGCACAGAGAACAGGCACGATCAGCACTAGTAGGCAATGCATACATGGCAGTGAGAATAGCATCATAGTCACGCGCAAAGATATCTACCCTCTGTCCATGCAGCTCCAGCCAGGTGGGGAGCTCAGCCTCGTCGCCAAACACTGTGCGCCAGTCGTCGCTCAGACGAGCGAAGCAGCGGGACTGTGTGTGACCAAGCGTCCCACAAGGCTGACCAGTCCTAGCACCTGTGCGAATGACGTACGAGCAGCGAACTGTACGTGTAGACCTGCTACACTGAGCGTACCACTCCTGGAGCTGCCGGGGCGTAAGTGTCTCACGTGGACGCCCCTGCAGCTGTAGCTGGCCACTGCCAGACGCTCCCAACTGACCAGCTCCAGGGCGACAGCTACGACGGCTACTGCGACAACCCCAGCTAGTATACCACTCACTAAGCTGCTGGGGCGTCAGAGGCTCGCGTGAACGTCGCTGGAGCTGCATCTGGCCACCTGCCAGTAGCAGTAGCAGCAGCAGTAGCGCGGGCAAGGCAGGCGCGGCAGGCAGGCAGGCAAGCAGGCAGGCAGGTAGGCAGGCAGGCCGGCAGGCAGGCAGGCAGGCAGGCAGGCAGGCAGGCAGGCAGGCAGACAGGCAGGCAGGCAGGCAGGCAAGCAGACAGACAGGCAGGCCGGCAGGCAGGCAGGCAGGCCGGCAGGCAGGCAGGCAGTCGCGCAGGCAGGCAGGCCGGCAGGCAGGCAGGCAGCCAGGCCGGCAGGCAGGCAGGCAGACAGGCAGGCCGTCAGGCAGGCAGGCAGGTGCTCACCAGGCGAGCAGGGCCGGCGCTCGACGGGCGGCGGCCGAGTAGGCGCACGACAGCGGCGGCGTCGGGGCCGCAAAACCGGCTGCAGAGCAGGGCCGAAGCAGCTGCAGGGCGGGGCCGCTTCAGCGGCAGTAGCAGGGTGGGGCCGCGTCAGCGGCAGGTCGGGGCCGTGGCAGCTGCAGAGCGGGGCCGCATCAGCGGCAGGTCGGGGCCGTGGTAGCTGCAGGGCGGGGCCGCATCAGCGGCAGGTCGTGGCCGAGGCAGAGGGCCGCGCGCGGCTCGGCGCGGGCTGCGCTGACAGCGCGTGGAGCTGCTGCAGGCCGCGCGCGGCCGCGCTAGGCAGTAGCGGGCCGCGCGCGGCTCGGCGCGGGCTGTTGCGGGCCGCGCGCGGGCCGCGCGAGGCAGTAGCAGGCCGCGCGCGGCTCGGCGCGGGCTGCTGCGGGCCGCGCGCGGGCCTCGCGAGGCCGTAGCAGGCCGCGCGCGGCTCGACGCGGGCTGCGCGGGCTCGGCGCGGGCTGCGCGCGGCTGCAGCGGGCTGTGCGCGGCTCGGTGCGGGCTGCGCGCGGCTGCAGCGGGCTGTGCGCGGCTCGGCGCGGGCTGCGCGGGCTCTGTGCGGGCTGCGCGCGGCTGCAGCAGGCTGCGCGGGCCTTACGGGCCTCTAGGGGCGGCGCGTGGGCCTTACGGGCCTCTAGGGGCAGCGCGCTGGCCTAGGGCAGTAGGAGGCAGCGCTAGGGCTGCTGGACGGCGCACATAGTGCAGCACGTCACAAGGCAAGGCAAGGCAAGGCAGGCAGGTACGTGGGGTAGCGCGGTAACCGCAGCGGTAGGTGGGCCCGAAAAAAAACGGTCCTACGGACCTTAGTGCTCTGAAACCATGTTAGAATCTAGCAGCAGGAATGAATGAACTAACAGGATGCAGGAGTACAAGTAGTAAACCCTAATTGGGTTGTACCCCATATGCAGCACATATAGTTTGACACCACTGTGAGCGAGTCACACTGTCAGCTGTATCAGGAGGAGCGAGAGAGGTCCTAGACGTGTGGTCAAACAGGGAGACGTCGTCCCTAGGCTCGCTTCGTTTTTCCAGCAGTAAGTCATCTAGCCAGGTCTCAAACTGGATCGGATGGCCCTTGAAATCGAAGGTGAGAATACTAAGAGAAGCCATAGCGGGCAGAGCAGGGTGGCGTGTGACCAGCAGGGCAGCACGCAGGCAAGGCAGAGCGGCGTGCAGGCAGCAGGACGGCGGGACGGGCAGGGCGGCGCGCGGGCACTAGGGAAGCGCGCAGGGCAGGGCGGGGCGGCGCACGGCCAGGGAAGGGTGGCGCACGGCCAGTGCAGGGCGGCGCATAGCAGGACAGGGCGGCGCGCTGTCACAGGGGCGACGCGACAGGCCGGGCAGGGCGACACGCGGGCACTAGGGTGATGCGACGGGCAGGGGAGGGCGGGCGTGGCCAGCAGGGCGACGCGACGGGCAGGGCAGGGCATCGCGCGGCCAGCAGGGCGACGGGCAGGGAGGGCGGCGCGGCAGCGCGACGGTCAGGGTAGGGCGCTACGGACAGGGTAACGCGCTACGGACAGGGAACTATTCGGTGGGCCCTAAAAGAAAAACAGTCCTGGAACAGGACCTGCTATGAAATTATGTCAGAATATTGAACGAGAATGGATGCATTGAGATCAAACCTGTGTACAAGTACTAACCCTAATTGAGTTGTACGTCTTATGGGCTACCCCACTACAGCCTACACAACAAGGGCATTGTGATAATTTGACATTGTTTTCATTGACATATGTGTGGTCTATTGAATTCGGCCAAAAACCGTATTCGAGGATCTTACACGCCCTTAGCGCGCTTCGACGATGCCAAATACGGTACGTGGTACAAGCAGCTTCGCTTTCACAACATACAATTTCGAGGAACACTACTACTTGTGTTTATAAAGTTATAAGAATTTAAAGCACCCAGTGGGTGTTACGATTTTGACCCATACATGCACCCCCCTAGGGGGGACGGGGGAGAGGGGGTGGGGGTATTTATCCTATGGAGGGAATATGGTAAGTACTGACGGCACAATTACCACCATGAATTGGACCGTATGTCATTGGTTTCCCACCCCAGCAGTCATCGTAGGCGGTTGACCTACACCCGATCTCTAGGTGCATTGCTGCACGTGCTCATCCCCGAAGCGCAGCAGACATAAGAAATGCTTGCTTTCTTGCTGCCAGCCTTCGCTCCAAGTCCTCCATTGACTCCCTAACCACCATCGCCATTGCCCTGCTACCCCCTTCCTCCTCCCACCACACTGCCATCTCCTCTCGAGCCCTCTTCGCCTCCTCCCCCTCCTCTTCCTCCTCCCCATCCCGCTTTCTCTTTAACCCGGAAAGCACGTCTTCCAACCCCTCATCCCCACCAACACCCAACTCTTCATAAAGATCATCACCCAGCCCTTCCTGATCACCACCACTGCCCAGCACTGCACCACCCTCCTGACGCTTCTCACGCTCTGCCTCCCCTGCACGCACATCCGCCCCTACCTCTCCCTTGCCAGCCCCAAACACGCGCTGGTTTGACTGGTCGAGCATCTTGGCTGAAGTGGTTGTGACCTCGTGAATCCACGCACAGCTCTGCAGGATGCGTGTGCTGCACTGGGGAGCCACGTGTGCTATGTAGAGCTCTGCCATTGCCCTGCGCTCCTGCTCCCCTGCATTCCACTTGGCTTCCTCCAGCTGCACTTCCTTCCCACGCTCTGCCTGCTGCTGCTGCCGCTGCTGTGCCTGCTGTGGCTGTTGCAGCGCCTGCTGCACTTGCTGCTGCCGTGGCTGCTGCTGTAAGTGATGGGACTGGTCTGCCTGATTAGTATGCCTGTCTGCACCTGTGGCAGCACCACTGGCAGGACCACTTGCAGCAGCAGTGAGAGCAGGAGTGTCAGCATCATCATCTGTATCAGCATCCAATCCAACGGCATACCGTGTTGTCTGAGCAGCAGCACCAGTCCTTGCAGGTGACACAACCCTGGAAGGAGAGACAGCCCTGGACTTGTATCCTCCACGTGAAGACCCCTTGCCCTGCCTTCCCCTCTTCCCCCTCCCACTTCCCCTGCTCGACGTGCCCACCTGAACTTCACCATCGTCTGCAGCACCAGCAACAACAGTGTCAGCACGAGCCAACAACTCCCCATGGCTCCCTTCCTCCCATTCTTCCTCCTGCACGTCCTCCCGATCTGCACCCTTCCGCTTCCGCTTCCCCGTCCCCTTCACCCTACCTCTTCCACCCTCCCTGCTCAATGCGCCCACCTGCACTTCACCATCCTTTGCAGCAGCAGCCGCAGCGCCAGCACGAGCCAAAAACTCTCCACGGCTCCGTTCCTCTCCTTCATTCACCGAATCCCCTTCCCGTACGTCCTCCTGCTCTGCACCCTGCCGCTTCCACTCCCCTGTCCCCCTCCCCCTCCCCCTCCCTCTCCCCCTCCCGTTCCGTCCGCCCCTTTCTGCCCTCTCTCCAGCAACCTTGGCCTTGGCAATCTTCCTTCTCTCCACCCTTGTTGCAACCGTCACTGTATCCTCCTCCTCGTCGTCCTCCCCTCTCTTCTCCCCATCCTCCTCCCCCTCACCCCCCTCCTCATCCTCCAGAAAATCCCCATGCCAGTCAGATACAAGCACATCCGCACACTCATCCCTGCCCTCCCTCCCACTCAGCACCCCCTCCCTGCCTTCCTCCTCCGTGCCTGCGCCCCCCTCGCCGCCCTTCACTCGTGCACCAGAGCCGTCTGCTGCGGATGCCTTGGCAGGGCGGCTCTTGGGAGGCGCAGGTCCGCGGAGAGGCATGGACATGGGCACAAGGCCTGCATGGGGGGTGCAAGGACAGGGGGACGGCATTTGAGACATCTTACAAGAGGCATGGACATGGGCATGGGTAGCGCGGGGTAAAGACGGGTGGGAGGGGGAGGAGGGGGGGAGAGGGAGGGGGGAAAGAAGCGAAGGGAGGCTATGCATTTGGCAGGTGAATGATTGATTGAAAAGAAAAAAAGTAGTGATGGTAATAACGCTCTCCCTCATGCCTCTCCAGCAAAGGCGCCCATTTCTTCCTCTCTTCCCCATACCCTCTTCCCCCCCATAACCCCCTTTCCCCCTGCTTCTCCCCCTGCTCTCCCCACCTGCCACCATGTCCTCGGTCCTGTCTGTGGGCACAAGGCGCACCACCTTGCTCTCCCCCACTCCCTGCACCGCCTCCAACTGCCCATGGGCCAGGGGGAGGGGGAAGGGGAAGGGGAAGGGGAAGGGGAAGGGGAAGGGGGAGGGGGAGGGGGAGGGGAAGGGAACGGGGAGAGTGCACTAGGTTCAGTAACAGGATGGCGTGCATTGACCTGCGAGAAACGCCCTCAGAGCTCCCCAATCCAAGTGCTGTGAATCTCATATCTGCCATTGCAGTGAGCTGAATAGCCAGTGCAGGCAGCAATGGTCCGTTCGTTGCTCTGCACTGCTGCCCCTCACAGCCGTGCGTGCAATAGCCTGTACACACGAACAGCAGCAAAAGTGTTCGCTTGCGCAATCCGCACAGGCACGTCAAATTCTCTACCTGACATCGATGGTACACCTTCTAGGTGAACGTTGGGTATCTGGGCGGAAGGGAAGCTGTTCCACCACATGGGGCTATGATGGTGCGAACAACGACGGTGATGATGGTGATAGTGCGACGGAGATAGAAATGACCAGACAGGGGTGCATCACACAACCCACAGCTCGGTCACTTTGTTGGCACTAGGCACAGCACGTACCATGTAGCCCTGGCACATGAGCAGCAGGATGAGATGATTTGATTCTAGAGTTGACTCAAAAATAGGCTCGGTCACTTGTCAGTAAGCACAGCACGCACGTACCATGTAGCCCTGGCACACGAGCAGCAGAATGAGATGCTGCACCGCCGCACGGGACAGCGGCTTCACTGCCACAGCTGGTGCGGGTGCGGGTGCGGGTGCTTGGGGGGCAACAGTGGCTGTGGCAGGAGTGGCAGGAGCAGGAGTGGCAGGAGCAGGAGTGGCAGGAGCAGGAGTGGCAGGAGCAGGAGTGGCAGGAGCAGGAGTGGCAGGAGCAGGAGTGGCAGGGGCGGCTGGAGTGGCAGTGGCGGCAACAGTGGGAGAAGAGAGAGTAACAGGTGTAGGGAGAGGGGTGTGTGGGAGGGGTTGTGCGGTTTCACTGAGGGCGGTGGAGGCAGTGGAAGCATGGGAGAAGGAATCAGCAGCGGCGGAAGATGGAGGGGTTGCAAGAACAGCGTCAGGCGAGAGGGTTTCCCCGACAGCACTGCTGCCTGCAGGCGCGGCTGTCACAGTGGCACCAGTGGTCACAGCAGCACCGGCAGAACCAGCAGCAACAGCAGCACCACTGGTATCAGCAGCACCAGCAGCAGCTGTGGTAACAGCAGCACTGCCGGTGGAAGCAGCAGCAGCGGTGACTGTGGCAGCAGCCGTGGAGTCAGAAGGCGTAGCAGCAGCAGCAGCAGCAGCAGCAGCAGCAGCAGCAGCAGCAGCAGCAGCAGCAGCGGTGGTGACAGCAGGCGTTGCGGCGTCTTGACCTCGGGACAGTGCAGCCATTTGTGCTTGACTCATCAGTGCCGCCGCCTCTGCCCCACACATGCAGCCAAGGGAGAGTGGATGGGTGGAGAAGGCAGGGAGGGGTTGAGGGGGAAGGTAAATCAGGGGTGGGGAGAGATGGTTTAGAGGGTAGTGGGCTTGTGAGGGAGAAGGCTTGCAGGCAAGGCAGCATGAAAGTAGATGCAGGTGAGAAAGCACAGCGACAGGCCGGCAGAGGGTGAGGGGAGTTTGAAAGACACATGCAGAGAGACAGAACAAACGTGGCGCAGAAGGCCCCTCCCATACGAGCCTTGCATACAAAAGGAGATGCAGAGAGCGCATGGCAGGGAGTGAGTGCAGGGAACGGTAGCAGCAGCAACTGATGGTCTGAGTGCAGGCAGGCATGCAGTGATTGCATGCATGTAGATCAGCGTGTCAAGACAATGCACTGCAAGGATACCTCGCTGACTCCTCGCCCTCGTCTTGTGACTCCTCCCCCAGCCCTCTCCCACTATCTCCCTCCACCCCTCCCCACCCCCCCCCCCCCTCCCCCCCCCTTTCCCCCTCCCCAACCGCACCTGAGGCAGCGCCGGAGCGGAAGATAAACTCATTGGCAAGCTGGGGGGCAGTGAGGTGCGGTGAGGGACGGTGAGGGGCGGTGAGGGGCGTTGGAGATGATGGTTCAGAACTCACCCGCGGCAGCGCCGGAGCGGAAGAACTCATTGGCGAGCTGATGGGCGGTGAGGGGCGTGGGTGAGTCCGCCAGGATGCGCGCCAGTAGCATGGCGTACGCTGGAAGGCGGACGGGAGAGAGAGGGGGGCGAAGGGTGGGGTAAAGGAAGGAGGGGAGGTAAAACGAGGGAAGCGGGCGTGAGGAAATGAGTTGAAAGGGGAAAGGGAGTGACGGGGGACTGGTGTAGGGGGGGGGAGTTTGTTGCTTGAGTTGAAACTTGAAAGGAGTTGGGAGGAGTTCAGAGGCAGCAGACTAGTAGGATAGGAGATAGCAAGTGACACACCCAGCTGCTCCTGATGCAGAACGTAGTTCAATCACCATTGCCGGAATTCGAACATAACAGTGCCAGAACACGGAATACAAAATTCCAGAATACGGAACATTAAGTTCCAGAACAGGGAGTACATCAGAGAGTTCCTGGGAAGCAGGTGAGAGCGAGTGAGAGCGAGTGAGAGCGAGTGAGAGCGAGTGAGAGCGAGTGAGAGCGAGTGAGGGAGAGAGATAAAGAGTGAGGGAGAGCGAGTGAGAGCGAGTGAGAGCGAGTGAGAGCGAGTGAGAGCGAGTGAGAGCGAGTGAGGGAGAGAGATAAAGAGTGAGGGAGAGCGAGTGAGAGCGAGTGAGAGCGAGTGAGAGCGAGTGAGAGCGAGTGAGAGCGAGTGAGAGCGAGTGAGAGCGAGTGAGAGCGAGTGAGAGCGAGTGAGAGCGAGTGAGAGCGAGTGAGAGCGAGTGAGAGCGAGTGAGAGCGAGTGAGAGCGAGTGAGAGCGAGTGAGAGCGAGTGAGAGCGAGTGAGAGCGAGTGAGGGAGAGAGATAAAGAGTGAGGAAGAGAGGGTGAGAGTGAGGGAGAGCGAGTGAGAGCGAGAGAGAGTGAGTGAGAGCGAGGGAGAGCGAGTGAGAGCGAGGGAGAGCGAGTGAGAGCTAGTGAGAGCGAGTGAGAGTGAGGGAGAGAGAGTGAGAGCGAGGGAGAGCGAGGGAGAGCGAGTGAGAGCGAGTGAGAGCGAGTGAGAGCGAGTGAGAGCGAGTGAGAGCGAGTGAGAGCGAGTGAGAGCGAGTGAGAGCGAGTGAGAGCGAGTGAGAGCGAGTGAGAGCGAGTGAGAGCGAGTGAGAGCGAGTGAGAGCGAGTGAGAGCGAGTGAGAGCGAGTGAGAGCGAGCGAGAGTGAGTCGGAGCGAGTGAGAGCGGGTGAGGTGAGAGCGAGTGAGAGCGGGTGAGAGTGAGGGAGAGCGAGTGAGAGCGGGTGAGAGTGAGGGAGAGCAGAGAGAAGAGAAGCAGAAGCTCTCTTTGCGAGTGCAAGAGCAGAGATCTTACGAGTAACGTCCTTTTCTTCAAAGCCCCTCGAGTTGCAGCAATTGTCACAGAAGCTGCAGCGGATGGCCCATCCCATGGGGTCGTCCGTTACAAGATGCAACACATGGATGAATGGAGCAGAGCACGATTTCATGAACAGTCACGACAGGTTCAGCAATAATGGTTAACAAGATAGCGAGATGAGACCCGTACGCCACGGGTACACATCGCCAACGGCAAAACGATGGGCTACTCAACAAGCAGAAAGTAGCAGGGCACACACAGAGAGACAACCGGATCAGAACTTCTTACAGTTGAGCAAATCATGCTTGATAAGAATTCTCTCCCACCGGTCCTGAATCCCCAACCCAACCCATTCCCCCAAACGAACTCAGCCCACTATCCCCCCAGCCCAGCCCATCTCCCCCCCAACCCAATCCAGCCCAACCCCCCAACCCAACCCAGCCCATCCCCCCAACCCATCTCCCAACAGGCCAGCATGCCTGTGTGCAGGCTAGCCCAGCACGTACGTACCCCCACAGGGTTGCTCATCCGGGGAGTCAAGGTCAAAGTGGCGCAGCAGCAGCTTGTGCCGACACACACTGCGATTCTGATGCCCCGCACACACACAAATGAGAGGCAGGCAGGGGGGGTGGAGGAGAAGAGTAAGGGGAGTAGGGAGAAACGGAAGGGTGGTGATGAGAAACGTGATCGCAGCGACAAGGCCTTGACGGGGACAGGAGGCCTTGACGGGGACAGGAGGCCTTGACGGGGACAGGAGGCCTTGACGGGGACAGGAGGCCTTGACGGGGACAGGAGGCCTTGACGGGGACAGGAGGCCTTGACGGGGACAGGAGGCCTTGACGGGGACAGGAGGCCTTGACGGGGACAGGAGGCCTTGACGGGGACAGGAGGCCTTGACGGGGACAGGAGGCCTTGACGGGGACAGGAGGCCTTGACGGGGACAGGAGGCCTTGACGGGGACAGGAGGCCTTGACGGGGACAGGAGGCCTTGACGGGGACAGGAGGCCTTGACGGGGACAGGAGGCCTTGACGGGGACAGGAGGCCTTGACGGGGACAGGAGGCCTTGACGGGGACAGGAGGCCTTGACGGGGACAGGAGGCCTTGACGGGGACAGGAGGCCTTGACGGGGACAGGAGGCCTTGACGGGGACAGGAGGCCTTGACGGGGACAGGAGGCCTTGACGGGGACAGGAGGCCTTGACGGGGACAGGAGGCCTTGACGGGGACAGGAGGCCTTGACGGGGACAGGAGGCCTTGACGGGGACAGGAGGCCTTGATGTGGACAGGAGGCCTTGACGGGGACAGGAGGCCTTGACGGGGACAGGAGGCCTTGACGGGGACAGGAGGCCTTGACGGGGACAGGAGGCCTTGACGGGGACAGGAGGCCTTGACGGGACGGAGGGATGCAGGGGAAGGAGACAAATGGTTGGTAATTCAGATGGGAGATGGGCAGGCAGGCAAAACGTGAGGACAAAACGAGGATGTGGATGGAGGGTGGGCAGTGGTGCAGGAGAGAGTAATGTCGAAGTGGTATAGGCCGCAACCATGCACATATGTATCAGCCAATCAACACCGTCCAACATTCATCACTGTGCATGAACCATGCAATAGCACAGCATACCATGCAATAGCACAGCATACCATGCAATACCACAGCATACCATGCAATAGCACAGCATACCATGCAATACCACAGCATACCATGCAATAGCACAGCATACCATGCAATAGCACAGCATACCATGCAATAGCACAGCATACCATGCAATAGCATAGCAGACCATGCAATAGCTCAGCATACCATGCAATAGCACAGCATACCATGCAATAGCATAGCAGACCATGCAATAGCACAGCATACCATGCAACACCACAGCATACCATGCAATAGCATAGCAGACCATGCAATCGCATAGCATACCATGCAATACCACAGCATACCATGCAATAGCACAGCATACCATGCAATAGCACAGCATACCATGCAATAGCACAGCATAGCGAGCAATAGCACAGCATAGCATGCAATAGCACAGCATACCATGCAACACCACAGCATACCATGCAATAGCACAGCATACCATGCAACACCACAGCATACCATGCAATAGCACAGCATACCATGCAATCGCATAGCATACCATGTGTGATTGAGTCAAGGTGATGGTGCGCCGTGCTCTGTCCCGGGTGATCCGCAAGCCAAGATAGCTTGTCAGCTCACCCAGGTCTGTGCACGTGTGTCTCCTCTGCAGCTCTGACTTCACGTAGGCGAGTCCTGCAGTGTCAGCAGTGGCAAAGACCAAGTCGTCGACGTACACGAGGATGTAGAACGGCGGCAGCGAAGTGTCGGTGCGCAGGAACAGCGACGGGTCAGCTGTAGAAGGCGCGAACCCAAGAGCCGCAAGTGTAGTCCTCAGTGTGTCGTGCCACTCACGCGGAGCCTGGCGGAGACCGTAGACCGGCCGCTGAAGCCTCCACTGGGTACCAGGAGGAAACGACCCAGTGAAGCCAGGTGGGCGACGCAGCCAGATCTCCTCGTGCAGGCTGCCCTGCAAGAAAGCAGTGCTGAAGTCAAGTGAGTGAAGCTCGTAGTCGCGGTGAGCGGCTATGTGCAGCAGCACCCGAAGAATAGTCATCTTCGGGGTGGGGGAGAAGGTCTGGAAGAAGTCAACTCCCTCTCGCTGACTGAAGCCTCGAGCCACGTAACGCGCCTTGAAGACAGGCGGAGAACCCGGCGGCCGCTTCACCCTGAAAATCCACATGCCACTGACGATGTTCGCCCCAGGAGGGGGAACCTCGTCGACGTAGGTGCGTGTGGACTTCCAGGAAGCCATCTCGGCGTCCATGGCTGTCTGCCACTGAGAGGAGTAGGGACCCGCCATCGCCTCAGCGTAAGTGCGCGGGGTCGGGATGTCTGGTGCATCCGGGTCTCCCTCAGGGGCAACTAGCAAGGACACGAGACGGGGCAAAGCAGTAGCAAGACACTGGAACTCCTCCTGTCTGTCCTCAAGGACGTCCGTGCCAAGAGCACACTCACCCCCGACGGACGGAGGACAGACAGACTCAGACTCAGACTCAGCAACAAGGCTAGCAGCGTAGTCTAGACGACAGGCAGCAGCAAAGTCAACCAACTCAGCGACCAGAGCAGACGCAGTCGAGGACTCAAAGGTAGGGTCAGTGACAACAGTAGCTAGGAGACGCGTGACAGTAGGGTGCTCAGCACGATACCGGTCAGACTCAGGGTCCGGAACGTCAGGCAAAGAGGACGCAGGAGGAGACGGTAGAGGGACACGCTGAGGAGCAGTAGAGGGACGCAAAGTCATGTAGTGAGTGCCTGGGACAGGAGGAGGACGCTCACGACGGACACGACTACCAGTGCGAGCAGGACGAACAGGCGACGCAGGACGAGACTCAGGCTCACGACGCTCTGTAAGACCTCCTGTGGGACCAGTGTAAGGAGAGGGAGCAGGGAGAGGCGAGGTAGGCGGTAACTGTGACTGCGGCTGGACAGGCGGAGGACACTCTACGGAGGGAGGAGGACAAGGAGGAGGATGTCAGAATGAACGGACTGGAATGACTGTACTAACAGAAGGTTGGATACAAATAGGAAACCCTAATCCAGTGTACCCCCTAAGGTATAACCCACTACAGCCTACAATCATATAAACATATAATGTTTGACACACCCCCATAGGCGAAGTGGGGAGACCTGGGGGTCACACGACCAGTCAGGGCAAAGCAAGGCAAAGCAAGCTCAGGGTGGATCTCGAGGATTCCACACAAATTCCGAGCACAAGCAAGTGGTCACAAGACCAGTTCACATGCAGGTTTATAACAGAGCAAGAGATACAGTGATCACAACCTAGCAAGAGTAAATATGCAGGTATATATATATAGTGATCACAGTACAAGCAAGGTCAAGAGGTAAGCAAGTGAGGTCCAGTAGGCACAAGACCTAGTAGAGTGCAGAGGCGCTGATGGTCACGAGGCTGAAGCGCCTTGGTGAACACATCAGCAGTGTTGGCCTCAGTGGCCACGTAGCGAATACAAAGCTGACCGCGCTGCTGCAGCTCTCGAGCAAGGAAGTACCGCAGGGCGATGTGCTTCGTTCTGTGCTCCAGTCAGTGCTCCTCACACAAGGCAATGGCAGCCTTGTTGTCGACGTACAGCACTGGAGGAGAACGAGGCCGCTCTCCGAGGTCGGTCAGCAGGTAGGTCAGCCAGCGTAGCTCCTGGGCAGCCATGGCTGTGGCGTAGATCTCAGCCTCGCAACTGGAGCTGAGAACAGAAGAAGAGCGTGTAGAGCGCCAAGAAACTGAGCCGGAGCCAAGGCTGAAGGTGTAACCCTGAGACGACCGCTGAGTGGCCTGGTCGTCTGCCCAAGAAGCGTCTGAGTGCCCTGTGAGAACAACTCGGTCTCGCCCTCCAAGCCCCATGCCCGACGTACTGCACAAGTAGCGCAACACCCTCTTAGCGGCATCCATGTGCTCCTTCCTGTGATGGCCAGGAGCGACATAGCGTGCAAGGATGCTAAGAGGGTATGCAAGGTCAGGTCGAGTACAGGTCATCAGGTACATGAGGCAGCCCACAAGCTCTGGATACGGGCCACTCGGCTCTACGGACTCATCCGAAGGCAGAGCTGAGAGCGAGTGACCTGTAGGCAGAGGAGTGGACTGAGGCGAGGAGTACGTGAAGCGGAAGCGCTGGAGAACCTGCTGCACCATGTGTGACTGAGTCAGGGTGATGGTGCGCCGTGCTCTGTCCCGGGTGATCCGCAAGCCAAGATAGCTTGTCAGCTCACCCAGGTCTGTGCACGTGTGTCTCCTCTGCAGCTCCGACTTCACGTAGGCGAGTCCTGCAGTGTCAGCAGTGGCAAAGACCAAGTCGTCGACGTACACGAGGATGTAGAACGGCGGCAGCGAAGTGTCGGTGCGCAGGAACAGCGACGGGTCAGCTGTAGAAGGCGCGAACCCAAGAGCCGCAAGTGTAGTCCTCAGTGTGTCGTGCCACTCATGCGGAGCCTGGCGGAGACCGTAGACCGGCCGCTGAAGCCTCCACTGGGTACCAGGGGGAAACGACCCAGTGAAGCCAGGTGGGCGGCGCAGCCAGATCTCCTCGTGCAGGCTGCCCTGCAAGAAAGCAGTGCTGAAGTCAAGTGAGTGAAGCTCGTAGTCGCGCTGAGCGGCTATGTGCAGCAGCACCCGAAGAGTGGTCATCTTCGGGGTGGGGGAGAAGGTCTGAAAGAAGTCAACTCCCTCTCGCTGACTGAAGCCTCGAGCCACGTAACGCGCCTTGAAGACAGGCGGAGAACCCGGCGGCCGCTTCACCCTGAAAATCCACATGCCACTGACGATGTTCGCCCCAGGAGGGGGAACCTCGTCGACGTAGGTGCGTGTGGACTTCGGGGAAGCCATCTCGGCGTCCATGGCTGTCTGCCACTGAGAGGAGTAGGGACCCGCCATCGCCTCAGCGTAAGTGCGCGGGGTCGGGATGTCTGGTGCATCCGGGTCTCCCTCAGGGGCAACTAGCAGGGACACGAGACGGGGCAAAGCAGCAGCAAGACACTGGAACTCCTCCTGTCTGTCCTCAAGAACGTCCGTGCCAAGAGCACACTCACCCCCGACGGACGGAGGACAGACAGACTCAGACTCAGACTCAGCAACAAGGCTAGCAGCGTAGTCTAGACGACAGGCAGCAGCAAAGTCAACAAGCTCAGCGACCAGAGCAGACGCAGCGGAGGACTCAAAGGTAGGGTCAGTGACAACAGTAGCTAGGAGACGCGTGACAGTAGGGTGCTCAGCACGATACCGGTCAGACTCAGGGTCCGGAACGTCAGGCAAAGAGGACGCAGGAGGAGACGGTAGAGGGACACGCTGAGGAGCAGTAGAGGGACGCAGAGTCATGTAGTGAGTGCCTGGGACAGGAGGAGGACGCTCACGACGGACACGACTACCAGTGCGAGCAGTACGAACAGGCGACGCAGGACGAGACTCAGGCTCACGACGCTCTGTAAGACCTCCTGTGGGACCAGTGTAAGGAGAGGGAGCAGGGAGAGGCGAGGTAGGCGGTAACTGCGACTGCGACTGGACAGGCGGAGGACACTCTACAGAGGGAGGAGGACAAGGAGGAGGAGCCTGCCCAAGAACCTGCTGAAGGAGCGGTACGAAGTACGGTCGCGGCCGCGCAGCGTCTCCAGAAGCAGAAGAGACTCCAGCGGCCGGGTCCTCAGTACCAGCAGGAGCTCCAGCGTCCGGGTCCTCAGCACCAGTAGCAGCTCCAACGCCCGGGTCCTCAGCAGCAGCAGCAGCGCCACCGCTCGGGTCCTCAGCTCTAGCAGCAGCTCCACCGTCCGAGTCCTCAGCACCAGCAGCAGCTCCACCGCCCGGGTCCTCAGCACCAGCAGCAGCGCCAACGTCCGAGTCCTCAGCACCAGCAGCAGCTCCACCAGGCGGGTCCTCAGCACCAGCAGCAGCGCCAACGTCCGGGTCCTCAGCACCAGCAGCAGCGCCACCCCCAGGGTCCGCAGCACCAGGAGCACCACTCCGAAGACTGCAGCGCCGTGTGTACCACTCGCGGATCTGCTGAATGGGGGGGAGCTCCTGGGTAGGAGGGGAAGTACCGGGACGAGCTCCAGCAGCACCTCTCCGGAGGCGGCAGTACTCGAGGTACCTCTCCTGCAGCTGCTGGGAGGAGAGGGCTCCTCCAGGTGTAGTACGCTCAGGCTCAGCACCCCCAGACTCAGCACCCCCAGGCTCAGCACCTCCAGGCTCCGCACCTCCAGGCTCCGCACCTCCAGGCTCAGCACCCCCAGGCTCCGCACCCCCAGACGCAGCACTCCCAGGCTCAGCACCCCCAGACGCAGCACCCCCGGGCTCAGCACCCCCAGACGCAGCACCCCCAGGCTCAGCACCCCTAGACGCAGGACGAGAGTCAACAGCTACCTCGACAGGCTCACCCGGGTCTACCTGGGACACACCTGAGGGAGCGGCACCCTGAGGGGGGAGGGGGTCTGGTACCTCTGCACCTGGAGCGAGGAAGAGAGGCGGGGGGGGGAGCGGGGCAGTGCGGTAGGGGAAGAGGCGGTAGTAGGGGACGGACTCGTCAAAAGTGACGTCCTGAGAGGCCAGGACACGCCGCGAGGTGGGGTGGTAGAACTGCCAACCAGGGGCGTCCGGGACAAAGCCAAGGAAGACGCAGGGGACAGCGCGACGGGAGAGCTTGTCCGCGGACGTGTCGCGGACAAAAGCTCGGGATCCCCAGACCCGAAAACGCGACGCATCGCCAGCCTCTCCCGTCCAACGCAGTGTCGGAGAAGTCTCGGGCAAGGAGACACGGGGCCAGAGGTTGAGCTGATGCGCAGCGTATCGGACTGCAAACGGCCACAGAAAGTGGGGGGCAGCCGCATGAACCAAGGAGGTACGAGCGACCTCCATGACCAAGCCAATGCGGCGCTCAGCAATCCCATTCTGCTGTGGAGAGGCCGGAAGCGTGAACGACTGCTCAATGCCCTCCTGCTGACAGAAGGCCTCCAAGAGGCTAGAGGAAAACTCTCCACCTCTGTCAGAGTGCAGACGCAGGACAGGGAAGTCGGAGCGGAAACGCTCACTGAGCTGGAGACGAGATCTGCGGATCCAAGGGATCAAGACATCAGGGACGTCACCCTTGGCGCGCAAGGGGAAGACCGTGGTGTAGCGCGAGAAGTCGTCAACAACAATCAGGAAGTACCTCTCCTGACCCTGACCACGGACGCGGGCTGGGCCCCACACGTCCATGTGGAGCGTCTGCAAGGGAGCAGTTGTCGGGGGAAAGGAGGAGGAGTGAGGAGCGGCGCGCTGCCGTCCCTCAACACAGGGAATACAGGGAGGAGCAGGCGAGTCTGGAAGGGGAGGGAGCACCCTGGGAAGACCAGCAACAAGGTCCCGTTTGTGCATGGCCCGAAGGCGCTGCACAGACGGGTGACCAAGGCGGTGGTGCCAAAGGACAGTCTCATGCGCCAGAGAGCGACACGAGCAGGGGGCGGACAGCTGACCTGACGCAGACGCAGACGTAGACGCAGACGCAGCTACCTGAGGGGACTCAGTGGTCAGTGTGTACAGGTCCGACCCCGGCTCTCGAGTGAAAGTAGCCAGGTGGCGACCCGTCCGAGCACACGTGCAGTGTGTCACGCGCTCGTAGGCAGGGGTGAACTGGTGAACACCCCCGTCCTGGAGTGCACTACCTGCCACCAAGTTCGTAGAGAACGAGGGGAGGTAGAGACCTGACAGCGTGCCGGACGGGACCGCCGGACAAGGAAGGACAGTGGAGGAGGTGGCAATGACCGGACCCCCAGAGGGGTCAGCAAGGGAGACCGCAACTGGCGGCGGTGGGGGTGGTGGTCGTGGAGGCACCAGTGGAGGGCAGAGTCAGCAGCCCGCCCCGACGCTTCAGGCCGCCCGTGAGTGGTATGCGCAGCGTGGCGTTACCTGCACGTACGTTATTCGCACAGGTGACCGCAGCGGCCAGCAGTGTGGGAGGCCGCACCCCACGCAGCGCTGCTTCGCGCGCCTTAACGACGCGTGGCGCACCCAGTTTCCTACTGCCACTGAGCTGCCGCGCTGGGCTGAGCTGGAAAAGAGGGGTGTTGATATTTGGGCTCTAGACTTTGATGCTATTCTCACTGCCATGTATGCGATGTCTATTAGTGGAGAAGGTGCTCAGTACTTGCGTGTTCCGCCCGACCCGGGCATTCAGGCCAGTCCGGCTGCCGCTCTAGGTGCTAGTGCGTCCGCTCCCACAGGTCCTGGTGAGGCTGCTGCCCTAGGTGCTAGTGCGTCTGTGCCCCCTGGTACTGAGTCGACTGCAGCACTGCACACCTTCACACTGGACTCAGGTGCTTCTCGCTCTTTCTTTCGTGACCGCACTGTCCTTGAGCCACTCGCTCGGCCCCGGCCACCTCCACCCCTGCCGCCACCACGACCACCTCCGCCCCCGCTGCCGCCTCCGCCCCTGCCACCACTCCCGCCGCTGCTGTCTCCTCCCCCACTGCCGCCACTGGCCTCCTCAGCCGCGCCTCCACTCCCACCGCCTCCACCCCCACCTCCTCCGCCGCCACCCCCACCCCTGCCCCCCTTGTTCCTGCGGCGCCCGCTCGAAGCAGACGCGGTCCCGACCTTCTCAGCACCGAGGAGGTCGACAGCAGCAGCAGAGGCGACAGAGGGGAGGAGGGGGGAAGGGGAACACCCCTCAAAGAACGGGGTGCGGGGGTCGCCACGAGAGGTGCCTACAGCGACGATGCTCGCCTCAGCTGCAAGCAGTTCCTTCTCGAGGAGGGCAACAGTGAGCTCAGTGGGGGAGCGAGAGAGGAAGTGGTCCCTGACTGCGCGCAGAGAGTCAGGGAGGCGGGTGACGATGTGGTAGAGAGTGATCCAGAGCGGGGGGGGGGTTGCTAGTGAGAAACTCGGCAGGCATAGCAGCGCGAAAGCGGGCCTCACTAGTCTTAAGGTGGGTGATGAGGTCTGCGACAGTGTGAAAGGAGGCTAGGTCGGGGAACAGGTAGGGGAGAGTGAGGCGGCCTAGCGTGGCAGAAGCGGGTGAGGAGTAGCGGGCAACTACAGCTGTGTAGAGGTCCTTAGCAGTCTTGCACTGGCCGAAGTGCTCGCGCTCGTCTAGCGGCAGGGAGTTGCGAATAGCAAAGCGAGCGTGCGCATCACGGGTCTGCCACTGGGAACGCAGAGTGCTGTCAGCAGACGAGTCAGGGGCAGTGGCATGGCCTAGGGCGTGGTCGTACAGTGAGATATCTTCCTTGGTAGTGAGCTGTAAGAACAGGTGCAGGTCATCTAGCCAGGTTTCGAACTTCACCGGACGGCCCTCGGCATCGAAAGCTAGAACGGGAGGACTAGCCATAGCGACAGTGGCAGCAGTGTGCGCTGGAGGTAGAAAATAAGCAACAGTGAGAGCGAGTGCCTCGCGGGCGGCGGCTGCAGAAGCGCACGGGCGGCAGCGGCGCACGGGGAACGGCGGTGCACGGGCAGCGGCGGCGCACGGGCAGCGGCAGTGTAGGGGCAGCGACGGCGCACGGGCAGCGGCGGCGCACAGGCAGCGGCGGCGCTCGGGAGGCAGCGGTGCGCAAGCAGCAGCGGAGGCAGCGGCGTACTAGCGGTTGCGGGCAGCGGGGCGTGCGCGAGCAGGCGACGGGCGGCTGCGGGGCGTGTGCGAGCAGGCGACGGGCGGCTGCGGGGCGTGCGCGAGCGGCTGCAGGCAACGGGCGTGCGGCACGCGAGTGGCGCTGGCGGTGCGCGGGCCGGCAGCGGGCAGCACGCAGGCCGCGCGGGTGAAGTGCGGGCTGCGTGGGTCGGTAGCGGGCGGTGCGCGGGCCGACGAGGCCGCTAAGGGGCGAGCGGCGGGGTCGTTCGAGGCGCTAAGGGGCGGCGCGACGGGGCCGTGAGGGGCCTCTAGGTCAAATGCGACGGGGCCGCGGGGCCGAAAAAAAAAAAAAAATGAAGCGCTCGAGGGCGCTACGGGGGAGGCGCTAAGAACGCGCTCCGGTAGTAGGTAGGTAGGTAGGTAGGTGGGCCCGAAGGACGGTCCTAGCGAAGGACCTGCTCTGAAACCATGTCGAAATAACAGACTGGAATGACTGTACTAACAGAAGGTTGGATACAAATAGGAAACCCTAATCCAGTGTACCCCCTAAGGTGTAACCCACTACAGCCTACAATCATATAAACATATAATGTTTGACAAGCTGCTGTGGTGAGAGAGGCTCTGGCCGACGAGACCGCTGTGGCGAGGCACCTGTAGGACCTCCATACCAAACTCAGTACCCTATGGGCTCGACACTCCTAGGCTCAGCACACCTAGGCTCCGCACTCCTAGGCTCAGCACCCCCAGGCTCCGCACTCTCAGGCTCAGCACCCCCAGGCTCCGCACCCTCAGGCTCAGCACCCCCAGGCTCCGCACCCTCAGGCTCAGCACCCCCAGACTCAGCACCTCTAGGAACACCATCCCCAAGAGCACCAGAGTCGACAGCAACCGGCTGCAGAGGCGGCGAAGACGGTTGAGGTAGAAAACCCGGAGGGGTCTCCAAGCGTGGTGAGTGGCCAGGGGCCGCCGCGTCGTCAGCAGCAACATCACCCCCCCTCAGCTGGACCAGAGGTGTCGGAAGTGACCTTGAAAGGCTCAGCCAAGGGGAGTGGGTCTACCTGAGACACACCTGAAAGAGCAGGACCTTGAAGGGGAGGGGGTCTACCGGAGGGGGACCAGGAGCGAGGAAGAGCTACGGGGGGGGGGGGAGAGGGGTAGTGCGATAAGGGAAGAGACGGCAAAAGGGAACCGACTCGTCAAACGTGACGTCCTGAGAGAACAAGATACGGCGCATGGTGGGGTGGTAAAATTGCCAGCCAGGCGTGACAGTGGGAAAGCCAAGGAAGACATAGGGAATGGCGCGGGAGTAGAGCTTGTCTGCGGAGGTATCGCGGATAAAGGCACGAGAGCCCCAGACCCGGAAAACCGGCACATCGCCAACCTCCCCCATCCAACGCAGTGTAGGCGAGGTCTCCGGCAAGGAGACACGGGGCCAGAGGTTGAGCTGATGTGCAACGTACCAGACCGTAAACGGCCACAGAAATTGGGGAGCAGCTGCATGGATCATGGAGGTATGAGCCACCTCCATGACTAAGCCAATGCGGCGCTCAGCAATCCCATTCTGCTGCGGGGAGGCCGGAAGCGTGAACGACTTGAGAAAACCCTCTCCACGACAAAAGTCTCACAGGAGGTCGGAGGAGAACTCACCACCCCTGTCAGAGTGCAGACGCAGGACAGGAAGGTCCTGACGGAACTGCTCGCGAAGCTGGAGACGAACAGCGTGGATCCAAGGGATAAAGACATAAGGGACCTCCCCCTTACTGCGCATGGGGAAGACCGTGGTGTATCGACAGTAGTCATCAACAACCAGCAGGAAGTATCGCTCGCGGTCATGTCCACGGACGCGGACGGGGCCCCACACGTCCATATGGAGAGTCTGCAGGGGAGCAGTCGTCGGGGGAAACGAGGAGGAGTGAGGAGCGGCGCGCTGCCGCCCCTCGACGCAAGGAAGGCAGAATAGGGCAGGCGAGGACGGGAGGGGAGGCAGAGACCTGGGAAGACCAGAGACAAGGAAGCGAGATTGCTTGCCACGGAGGCGTGGCAGGGAGGGGTGACCAAGGCGGTGATGCGAAAGGAGAGTCTGGTGCGTGCGGAGGCGACACGAACCGGGGGCTGCTACCTGACCTGACGCGGACACCTGACCTGACACAGCCACCGGAGTAGGCTCAGTAGTCAGTGTGTACAAAGTCGACCCAGGCCGACGTGTGAACGTGGCCAGGTGACGGCCCGTCCGTGTACACGTGCAAATCGCCACACGATGACCCCCAGAAGTGCTGGTAGTGACCATCGCATCCTGGAGGGCAGCGGTACTCACCAAGTTCGTAGAGAACGAGGGGAGGTGAAGACCTGACAGTGAGCCAGACGGAACCGCCGGACACGGGAGAACAGTGGAGGAGCGTGCAAGAACTGGCCCCCCTGAGGGATCAGCCAGAGAGACTGTGACTGTGGTACTGTCGCGAAAGAAACAGCGCGAAGCACCTGAGTCAAGCATGAAGGTGTGCAAGGCCTTAGCAGGCGCAGTACCAGAGAGAGCAGATGCACTAGCACCTAGAGCAGCAGCCTCTATACCTGGGTCAGGCGGCACATCAGCTAATAGTCACCCTCAACACTGACAGTTAAAGTATACATGGCAGCAAAGATAGCATCATAGTCAAGAGCAAAGATATCGACATCGTTCCTAAGCAGCTCTAACTAGCGGGGGAGCTCAGTCCCGTCGCCAAACTCTGCGCGCCAGGCGTCGCCAAGATGGGAGAAGCAGCGGTACTGTGTGTGACCAACCTTCTCGCATGGCTGACCGGCCTGATCACCTGTGAGAATGACGTACGGGTAGCGAACACTACCCCCAGGCGCCCCATGCTGAGCAAAGCACTCACGAAGTTGCTGGGGCGTAAGGGTCTTGCGCAGAGGCTGCTATTGCCTCTAGCCACCGCCAGAATCTCCCCTCTGAACGGCTCCACCACGACCGTCACCACTGTTGCCGCCACCACTCCCACTGCCGCCACCACCGCCGCCACCACCACCACCACCACCGCCGTCACCGACGCCTCCACTCCCACCACCACTCCCACCGCCACCACCGCCGCCACCGACGCCTCCACTCCCACCACCACTCCCACCGCCACCCCCACCGCCACCACCACCTCCACCACCGCCTCCACCGCTGCCACCTCCACCACTCTTGCCTCCCTTGCCCTTGCCGCTGTGGCGCCTCCCACTAGGAGCAGACGCAGCCCCGACCTCCTCAGCACGAAGGAAGTCAACAGCAGCAGCAGAAGCGACAGAGGGGGCAAGGGGGGAGGGGGAACACCCCTCAAAGAAGGGAGTGCGAGGAGTGCCACGAGAAGCACCTACAGCGACTATGCTAGTCTCAGCTGCAAGGAGGTGCTTCTCGAGCAGGTCGACAGTGAGGTCTGTGGGGTCAAGGGCGAGAAAGAAGGAGGTCCCTGACTGCGTGAAGAGAGTCAGGAATGCGGGTGACGAGGAAGTAAGGAGTGATGTACGTGGGGAAAGGGTTCTTGTCTAGAAACTCAGTTTTCAGCGCAGCGCGGTAGAGAGTGTCGCTAGTGCGAAGGTGGGTGATGAGGTCGGTGACTATGGGAAAGGCTGACAGCTCGGGAAAAAGGTAGGGCACTATAAGTCGGCCGAGAGCAGCAATGGCAGGGGAGGAGTAACGAGCAACTACAGCGTCGAACAGTGTTTTAGCTGTCTTGTGCTGGCCAAAGTGCGCCCGTTCGGCTAACGGCACATGGTTGCGAATGCCGAGGCGAGCAGTAGCGTTACGAGTAAGCCACTTGTTAGAATCAAGCAGCAGGAATGAATGAACTAATAGGATGCAGGAGTACAAGTAGTAAACCCTAATTGGGTTGTACCCCATATGGGCTACCCCACTACAGCCTAGACAATATGCAGCACATATAGTTTGACACACCCCCATAGGCAAAGTGGGGGAGAAAAAGGGGTCACACGACCAGTCAAGAGAAGCAAAACAAGCTCAGGGTGGATCACAACGTCACCACGCATTCCGAGCACAAGCAAAGGGCCACAGGGCCAGTTCACATGCAGAGATATATATGCAGCAATAACAGTACAGTGATGGCTACCTAGCAAGAGCCAGCATGCATATATATATATATATATATATATATATATACAGATTACAGTACAAGCAGAGACTACAGCAAGTGTGGAAACGTAGGCACAAGGCCCAACAGAGTACAAAAGCGCTGATGATCACCAGACGGAGACGACGGAGACGGCGGAGCGAAGAACCGTCGTGTCGGCGCAGCTGCACCAGGAGCGGCAGCTCCAGCAGCTCCAGTGCCTCCAGCAGCTCCAGTACCTCCAGCAGCTCCAGAAGCTCCAGTCCCAGAGCCGACACCCCCAGCCCCAGGGTCTCCAACCTCTGTGTCTCCAGCAGCAGCACCCCCAGAACCAGCACCTCCAGTCCTAGGGTCTCCAGCAGCAGCACCCCCAGAACCAGCACCTCCAGTCCCAGGGTCTCCACCCTCTGTGTCTCCAGCAGCAGCACCCCCAGAACCAGCACCTCCAGGCCCAGGGTCTCCAGCCTCAGTGTCTCCAGTAGCAGCACCCCCAGAGCCAGCACCTCCAGTCCCAGGGTCTCCAGCCTCAGTGTCTCCAGTACGAGCACCTCCAGAACCAGCGACTCCAGCACCTCCAGTAGACAAAGGTCCAGCACCACTCCTAGCTCCAGCAGCGCGACGCTGACGGCGACCGTACCAGTCCTGCAGCTGCTGTGGGGTGAGAGGCACACGTGGACGAAGGCGGCTACTCCAAGGAGACCGCGCAACAGCAGACTCAGAACCCTCAGCGCCCGCACCCCCAACGGCTCCAGAACCTCCGGTGTCAGTACCCTCAGCACCTGCACCTCCAGCGGCTCCAGAACCTCCAGCGCCAGCACCCTCAGTAGCTCCAGAACCTCCAGCGTCAGTACCGCTTAGCTCAGCACCCCTAGACCCCTCACACTCAGGCTCAGCACCACCAGGCTCCGCACCCCCAGGCTCAGCACCCCTAGAAGTAGCACCCCGAGAAGGACCACCCTCAGTAGGACCTGAGTCACCAGTGACCTCAACCGGCGCAGTCAAGGGAGGAGGGTCTACCTGAGAAACACCTGAAGGAGCAGGACCAGGAGTGGGGAGGGGGTCTACCTGGGGAGCACCTGGAGCGAGGAAGAGCGGCGGGGGGGGGAGCGGGGCAGTGCGGTAGGGGAAGAGACGGTAAAAGGGAACCGACTCGTCGAACGTGACGTCCTGAGACGCAAAGACACGGCGCGAGGTGGGATGGTAAAACTGCCAACCAGGCGCGTCAGGGACAAAGCCAAGGAAGACACAGGGAACAGCGCGGGCGGAGAGCTTGTCCGCGGTGGTATCGCGGACAAAGGCACGAGCACCCCAGACCCGGAAACGCGACGCATCACCAACCTTCCCCATCCACAGCAGTGTGGGCGAGGTCTCCGGCAAGGAGACACGGGGCCAGAGGTTGAGCTGATGCGCGGCGTACCGGACCGCAAACGGCCACAGGAAATGGGGGGCAGCCGCATGGATCATGGAGGTACGAGCGACCTCCATGACTAAGCCAATGCGACGCTCAGCAACCCCATTCTGCTGTGGAGAGGCCGGAAGCGTGAACGACTGGGTGATGCCGTGCTCCGCACAGTAGGCTACCAAGAGGTCAGAGGAGAACTCACCACCTCTGTCAGAGTGCAGACGCAGGACAGGAAAATCCCGCCGGAACCGCTCGCGGAGCTGGAGACGAACAGCGCGGATCCAAGGGATCAAAACATCAGGGACGTCCCCCTTGCTCTGCAAGGGGAAGACCGTGGTGTAATGCGTGTAGTCGTCGACGACCAGCAGGAAGTACCGCTCGCGGCCCTGTCCCTGGACGCGGGCTGGGCCCCACACGTCCAGGTGGAGCGTCTGCAGGGGAGCCTCTGTGGGAGGAAACGAGGAGGAGTGAGGAGCGGCGCGCTGCCGCCCCTCGACGCAAGGAATGCAGGGCGGCGCAGGCGAGGGAGGGAGGGCAGGCAGAGACCTGGGGAGACCAGAGACCAGGGAGCGAGAGTGCATGCGACGCAGGCGAGGCAAGGAGGGGTGACCAAGACGGTGGTGCCACAGGAGAGTGTCGTGCGACAAAGCGCGACACTCGCAGGGGGCCGCCAGCTGACCAGACGTAGACGCAGACGCAGCTACCTGAGGGGACTCAGTGGTCAGTGTGTACAGACTCGAGCCAGGTGCACGGGTGAACGTGGCCAAGTGCCGGCCCGTCCTAGCACACGTACAGTGAGTCACTCGCTGACTCGCAGGAGTGAACTGGTCAACCTCCCGATCCTGGAGGTCAGCTCCACTCACCAAGTTCGTAGAGAACGAGGGGAGGTAAAGACCTGACAGCGAGCCGGACGGGACGGCCGGACACGGCAGAACCGTGGAGTAGTGGGCAAGGACTGGACCCCCGGAGGGGTCCGCCAGGGAGACTGGAACTGGCCGACGAAGCGGCGTGAGTGTGGTGCAGTCGCGAAAGAAGGAGCGAGAAGCTCCTGAGTCAAGGGTGAAGGTGTGCGAGACCGTAGTTGGCGCAGTACCAGAGAGAGCAGACTCACCAGCACCTGAAGCCACGGCCTCACCAGTACCTAGAGCAGTAGACGTACTAGCACCGAGAGCAGCAGCCTCACCAGCACCTAGAGCAGGAGACGCACTAGCACCTAGAGCAGCAGCCTCACCAGGGTCAGGCGGTACGCACAGAGAACAGGCACGATCAGCACTAGTAGGCAATGCATACATGGCAGTGAGAATAACATCATAGTCACGCGCAAAGATATCTACCCTCTGTCCATGCAGCTCCAGCCAGGTGGGGAGCTCAGCCTCGTCGCCAAACACTGTGCGCCAGTCGTCGCTCAGACGAGCGAAGCAGCGGGACTGTGTGTGACCAAGCGTCCCACAAGGCTGACCAGTCCTAGCACCTGTGCGAATGACGTACGAGCAGCGAACTGTACGTGTAGACCTGCTACACTGAGCGTACCACTCCTGGAGCTGCCGGGGCGTAAGTGTCTCACGTGGACGCCCCTGCAGCTGTAGCTGGCCACTGCCAGACGCTCCCAACTGACCAGCTCCAGGGCGACAGCTACGACGGCTACTGCGACAACCCCAGCTAGTATACCACTCACTAAGCTGCTGGGGCGTCAGAGGCTCGCGTGAACGTCGCTGGAGCTGCATCTGGCCACCTGCCAGTAGCAGTAGCAGCAGCAGTAGCGCGGGCAAGGCAGGCGCGGCAGGCAGGCAGGCAAGCAGGCAGGCAGGTAGGCAGGCAGGCCGGCAGGCAGGCAGGCAGCCAGGCAGGCAGGCAGGCAGGCAGACAGGCAGGCAGGCAGGCAGGCAAGCAGACAGACAGGCAGGCCGGCAGGCAGGCAGGCAGGCCGGCAGGCAGGCAGGCAGTCGCGCAGGCAGGCAGGCCATCGCGCAGGCAGGCAGGCAGCCAGGCCGGCAGGCAGGCAGGCAGACAGGCAGGCCGTCAGGCAGGCAGGCAGGTGCTCACCAGGCGAGCAGGGCCGGCGCTCGACGGGCGGCGGCCGAGTAGGCGCACGACAGCGGCGGCGTCGGGGCCGCAAAACCGGCTGCAGAGCAGGGCCGAAGCAGCTGCAGGGCGGGGCCGCTTCAGCGGCAGTAGCAGGGTGGGGCCGCGTCAGCGGCAGGTCGGGGCCGTGGCAGCTGCAGAGCGGGGCCGCATCAGCGGCAGGTCGGGGCCGTGGTAGCTGCAGGGCGGGGCCGCATCAGCGGCAGGTCGTGGCCGAGGCAGAGGGCCGCGCGCGGCTCGGCGCGGGCTGCGCTGACAGCGCGTGGAGCTGCTGCAGGCCGCGCGCGGCCGCGCTAGGCAGTAGCGGGCCGCGCGCGGCTCGGCGCGGGCTGTTGCGGGCCGCGCGCGGGCCGCGCGAGGCAGTAGCAGGCCGCGCGCGGCTCGGCGCGGGCTGCTGCGGGCCGCGCGCGGGCCTCGCGAGGCCGTAGCAGGCCGCGCGCGGCTCGACGCGGGCTGCGCGGGCTCGGCGCGGGCTGCGCGCGGCTGCAGCGGGCTGTGCGCGGCTCGGTGCGGGCTGCGCGCGGCTGCAGCGGGCTGTGCGCGGCTCGGCGCGGGCTGCGCGGGCTCTGTGCGGGCTGCGCGCGGCTGCAGCAGGCTGCGCGGGCCTTACGGGCCTCTAGGGGCGGCGCGTGGGCCTTACGGGCCTCTAGGGGCAGCGCGCTGGCCTAGGGCAGTAGGAGGCAGCGCTAGGGCTGCTGGACGGCGCACATAGTGCAGCACGTCACAAGGCAAGGCAAGGCAAGGCAGGCAGGTACGTGGGGTAGCGCGGTAACCGCAGCGGTAGGTGGGCCCGAAAAAAAACGGTCCTACGGACCTTAGTGCTCTGAAACCATGTTAGAATCTAGCAGCAGGAATGAATGAACTAACAGGATGCAGGAGTACAAGTAGTAAACCCTAATTGGGTTGTACCCCATATGCAGCACATATAGTTTGACACCACTGTGAGCGAGTCACACTGTCAGCTGTATCAGGAGGAGCGAGAGAGGTCCTAGACGTGTGGTCAAACAGGGAGACGTCGTCCCTAGGCTCGCTTCGTTTTTCCAGCAGTAAGTCATCTAGCCAGGTCTCAAACTGGATCGGATGGCCCTTGAAATCGAAGGTGAGAATACTAAGAGAAGCCATAGCGGGCAGAGCAGGGTGGCGTGTGACCAGCAGGGCAGCACGCAGGCAAGGCAGAGCGGCGTGCAGGCAGCAGGACGGCGGGACGGGCAGGGCGGCGCGCGGGCACTAGGGAAGCGCGCAGGGCAGGGCGGGGCGGCGCACGGCCAGGGAAGGGTGGCGCACGGCCAGTGCAGGGCGGCGCATAGCAGGACAGGGCGGCGCGCTGTCACAGGGGCGACGCGACAGGCCGGGCAGGGCGACACGCGGGCACTAGGGTGATGCGACGGGCAGGGGAGGGCGGGCGTGGCCAGCAGGGCGACGCGACGGGCAGGGCAGGGCATCGCGCGGCCAGCAGGGCGACGGGCAGGGAGGGCGGCGCGGCAGCGCGACGGTCAGGGTAGGGCGCTACGGACAGGGTAACGCGCTACGGACAGGGAACTATTCGGTGGGCCCTAAAAGAAAAACAGTCCTGGAACAGGACCTGCTATGAAATTATGTCAGAATACTGAACGAGAATGGATGCATTGAGATCAAACCTGTGTACAAGTACTAACCCTAATTGAGTTGTACGTCTTATGGGCTACCCCACTACAGCCTACACAACAAGGGCATTGTGATAATTTGACATTGTTTTCATTGACATATGTGTGGTCTATTGAATTCGGCCAAAAACCGTATTCGAGGATCTTACACGCCCTTAGCGCGCTTCGACGATGCCAAATACGGTACGTGGTACAAGCAGCTTCGCTTTCACAACATACAATTTCGAGGAACACTACTACTTGTGTTTATAAAGTTATAAGAATTTAAAGCACCCAGTGGGTGTTACGATTTTGACCCATACATGCACCCCCCTAGGGGGGACGGGGGAGAGGGGGTGGGGGTATTTATCCTATGGAGGGAATATGGTAAGTACTGACGGCACAATTACCACCATGAATTGGACCGTATGTCATTGGTTTCCCACCCCAGCAGTCATCGTAGGCGGTTGACCTACACCGGATCTCTAGGTGCATTGCTGCACGTGCTCATCCCCGAAGCGCAGCAGACATAAGAAATGCTTGCTTTCTTGCTGCCAGCCTTCGCTCCAAGTCCTCCATTGACTCCCTAACCACCATCGCCATTGCCCTGCTACCCCCTTCCTCCTCCCACCACACTGCCATCTCCTCTCGAGCCCTCTTCGCCTCCTCCCCCTCCTCTTCCTCCTCCCCATCCCGCTTTCTCTTTAACCCGGAAAGCACGTCTTCCAACCCCTCATCCCCACCAACACCCAACTCTTCATAAAGATCATCACCCAGCCCTTCCTGATCACCACCACTGCCCAGCACTGCACCACCCTCCTGACGCTTCTCACGCTCTGCCTCCCCTGCACGCACATCCGCCCCTACCCCTCCCTTGCCAGCCCCAAACACGCGCTGGTTTGACTGGTCGAGCATCTTGGCTGAAGTGGTTGTGACCTCGTGAATCCACGCACAGCTCTGCAGGATGCGTGTGCTGCACTGGGGAGCCACGTGTGCTATGTAGAGCTCTGCCATTGCCCTGCGCTCCTGCTCCCCTGCATTCCACTTGGCTTCCTCCAGCTGCACTTCCTTCCCACGCTCTGCCTGCTGCTGCTGCCGCTGCTGTGCCTGCTGTGGCTGTTGCAGCGCCTGCTGCACTTGCTGCTGCCGTGGCTGCTGCTGTAAGTGATGGGACTGGTCTGCCTGATTAGTATGCCTGTCTGCACCTGTGGCAGCACCACTGGCAGGACCACTTGCAGCAGCAGTGAGAGCAGGAGTGTCAGCATCATCATCTGTATCAGCATCCAATCCAACGGCATACCGTGTTGTCTGAGCAGCAGCACCAGTCCTTGCAGGTGACACAACCCTGGAAGGAGAGACAGCCCTGGACTTGTATCCTCCACGTGAAGACCCCTTGCCCTGCCTTCCCCTCTTCCCCCTCCCACTTCCCCTGCTCGACGTGCCCACCTGAACTTCACCATCGTCTGCAGCACCAGCAACAACAGTGTCAGCACGAGCCAACAACTCCCCATGGCTCCCTTCCTCCCATTCTTCCTCCTGCACGTCCTCCCGATCTGCACCCTTCCGCTTCCGCTTCCCCGTCCCCTTCACCCTACCTCTTCCACCCTCCCTGCTCAATGCGCCCACCTGCACTTCACCATCCTTTGCAGCAGCAGCCGCAGCGCCAGCACGAGCCAAAAACTCTCCACGGCTCCGTTCCTCTCCTTCATTCACCGAATCCCCTTCCCGTACGTCCTCCTGCTCTGCACCCTGCCGCTTCCACTCCCCTGTCCCCCTCCCCCTCCCCCTCCCTCTCCCCCTCCCGTTCCGTCCGCCCCTTTCTGCCCTCTCTCCAGCAACCTTGGCCTTGGCAATCTTCCTTCTCTCCACCCTTGTTGCAACCGTCACTGTATCCTCCTCCTCGTCGTCCTCCCCTCTCTTCTCCCCATCCTCCTCCCCCTCACCCCCCTCCTCATCCTCCAGAAAATCCCCATGCCAGTCAGATACAAGCACATCCGCACACTCATCCCTGCCCTCCCTCCCACTCAGCACCCCCTCCCTGCCTTCCTCCTCCGTGCCTGCGCCCCCCTCGCCGCCCTTCACTCGTGCACCAGAGCCGTCTGCTGCAGATGCCTTGGCAGGGCGGCTCTTGGGAGGCGCAGGTCCGCGGAGAGGCATGGACATGGGCACAAGGCCTGCATGGGGGGTGCAAGGACAGGGGGACGGCATTTGAGACATCTTACAAGAGGCATGGACATGGGCATGGGTAGCGCGGGGTAAAGAGGGGTGGGAGGGGGAGGAGGGGGGGAGAGGGAGGGGGGAAAGAAGCGAAGGGAGGCTATGCATTTGGCAGGTGAATGATTGATTGAAAAGAAAAAAAGTAGTGATGGTAATAACGCTCTCCCTCATGCCTCTCCTGCAAAGGCACCCATTTCTTCCTCTCTTCCCCATACCCTCTTCCCCCCCATAACCCCCTTTCCCCCTGCTTCTCCCCCTGCTCTCCCCACCTGCCACCATGTCCTCGGTCCTGTCTGTGGGCACAAGGCGCACCACCTTGCTCTTCCCCACTCCCTGCACCGCCTCCAACTGCCCATGGGCCAGGGGGAGGGGGAAGGGGAAGGGGAAGGGGAAGGGGAAGGGGAAGGGGAAGGGGAAGGGGGAGGGGTAGGGGAGGGGAAGGGAACGGGGAGAGTGCACTAGGTTCAGTAACAGGATGGCGTGCATTGACCTGCGAGAAACGCCCTCAGAGCTCCCCAATCCAAGTGATGTGAATCTCATATCTGCCATTGCAGTGAGCTGAATAGCCAGTGCAGGCAGCAATGGTCCGTTCGTTGCTCTGCACTGCTACCCCTCACAGCCGTGCGTGCAATAGCCTGTACACACGAACAGCAGCAAAAGTGTTCGCTTGCGCAATCCGTGCAGGCACGTCAAATTCTCTACCTGACATCGATGGTACACCTTCTAGGTGAACGTTGGGTATCTGGGCGGAAGGGAAGCTGTTCCACCACATGGGGCTATGATGGTGCGAACAACGACGGTGATGATGGTGATAGTGCGACGGAGATAGAAATGACCAGACAGGGGTGCATCACACAACCCACAGCTCGGTCACTTTGTTGGCACTAGGCACAGCACGTACCATGTAGCCCTGGCACATGAGCAGCAGGATGAGATGATTTGATTCTAGAGTTGACTCAAAAATAGGCTCGGTCACTTGGCAGTAAGCACAGCACACACGTACCATGTAGCCCTGGCACATGAGCAGCAGGATGAGATGATTTGATTCTAGAGTTGACTCAAAAATAGGCTCGGTCACTTGGCAGTAAGCACAGCACGCACGTACCATGTAGCCCTGGCACATGAGCAGCAGGATGAGATGATTTGATTCTGGAGTTGACTCAAAAATAGGCTCGGTCACTTGGCAGTAAGCACAGCACGCACGTACCATGTAGCCCTGGCACACGAGCAGCAGAATGAGATGCTGCACCGCCGCACGGGACAGCGGCTTCACTGCCACAGCTGGTGCGGGTGCGGGTGCGGGTGCTTGGGGGGCAACAGTGGCTGTGGCAGGAGTGGCAGGAGCAGGAGTGGCAGGAGCAGGAGTGGCAGGAGCAGGAGTGGCAGGAGCAGGAGTGGCAGGAGCAGGAGTGGCAGGAGCAGGAGTGGCAGGGGCGGCTGGAGTGGCAGTGGCGGCAACAGTGGGAGAAGAGAGAGTAACAGGTGTAGGGAGAGGGGTGTGTGGGAGGGGTTGTGCGGTTTCACTGAGGGCGGTGGAGGCAGTGGAAGCATGGGAGAAGGAATCAGCAGCGGCGGAAGATGGAGGGGTTGCAAGAGCAGCGTCAGGCGAGAGGGTTTCCCCGACAGCACTGCTGCCTGCAGGCGCGGCTGTCACAGTGGCACCAGTGGTCACAGCAGCACCGGCAGAACCAGCAGCAACAGCAGCACCACTGGTATCAGCAGCACCAGCAGCAGCTGTGGTAACAGCAGCACTGCCGGTGGAAGCAGCAGCAGCGGTGACTGTGGCAGCAGCCGTGGAGTCAGAAGGCGTAGCAGCAGCAGCAGCAGCAGCAGCAGCAGCAGCAGCAGCAGCGGTGGTGACAGCAGGCGTTGCGGCGTCTTGACCTCGGGACAGTGCAGCCATTTGTGCTTGACTCATCAGTGCCGCCGCCTCTGCCCCACACATGCAGCCAAGGGAGAGTGGATGGGTGGAGAAGGCAGGGAGGGGTTGAGGGGGAAGGTAAATCAGGGGTGGGGAGAGATGGTTTAGAGGGTAGTGGGCTTGTGAGGGAGAAGGCTTGCAGGCAAGGCAGCATGAAAGTAGATGCAGGTGAGAAAGCACAGCGACAGGCCGGCAGAGGGTGAGGGGAGTTTGAAAGACACATGCAGAGAGACAGAACAAACGTGGCGCAGAAGGCCCCTCCCATACGAGCCTTGCATACAAAAGGAGATGCAGAGAGCGCATGGCAGGGAGTGAGTGCAGGGAACGGTAGCAGCAGCAACTGATGGTCTGAGTGCAGGCAGGCATGCAGTGATTGCATGCATGTAGATCAGCGTGTCAAGACAATGCACTGCAAGGATACCTCGCTGACTCCTCGCCCTCGTCTTGTGACTCCTCCCCCAGCCCTCTCCCACTATCTCCCTCCACCCCTCCCCACCCCCCTCCCCCTCCCCCCCCCCTTTCCCCCTCCCCAACCGCACCTGAGGCAGCACCGGAGCGGAAGATAAACTCATTGGCAAGCTGGGGGGCAGTGAGGTGCGGTGAGGGACGGTGAGGGGCGGTGAGGGGCGTTGGAGATGATGGTTCAGAACTCACCCGCGGCAGCGCCGGAGCGGAAGAACTCATTGGCGAGCTGATGGGCGGTGAGGGGCGTGGGTGAGTCCGCCAGGATGCGCGCCAGTAGCATGGCGTACGCTGGAAGGCGGACGGGAGAGAGAGGGGGGCGAAGGGTGGGGTAAAGGAAGGAGGGGAGGTAAAACGAGGGAAGCGGGCGTGAGGACAATGAGTTGGAAGGGGAAAGGGAGTGACGGGGGACTGGTGTAGGGGGGGGGAGTTTGTTGCTTGAGTTGAAACTTGAAAGGAGTTGAGAGGAGTTCAGAGGCAGCAGACTAGTAGGATAGGAGATAGCAAGTGACAAACCCAGCTGCTCCTGATGCAGAACGTAGTTCAATCACCATTGCCGGAATTCGAACATAACAGTGCCAGAACACGGAATACAAAATTCCAGAATACGGAACATTAAGTTCCAGAACAGGGAGTACATCAGAGAGTTCCTGGGAAGCAGGTGAGAGCGAGTGAGAGCGAGTGAGAGCGAGTGAGAGCGAGTGAGGGAGAGAGATAAAGAGTGAGGGAGAGCGAGTGAGAGCGAGTGAGAGCGAGTGAGAGCGAGTGAGAGCGAGTGAGAGCGAGTGAGAGCGAGTGAGAGCGAGGGAGAGAGCGAGTGAGAGCGAGGGAGAGCGAGTGAGAGCGAGTGAGAGCGAGTGAGAGCGAGTGAGAGCGAGTGAGAGCGAGTGAGGAAGAGAGATAAAGAGTGAGGAAGAGAGTGAGAGTGAGGGAGAGCGAGTGAGAGCGAGTGAGAGCGAGTGAGAGCGAGTGAGAGCGAGTGAGAGCGAGTGAGGGAGAGAGATAAAGAGTGAGGAAGAGAGGGTGAGAGTGAGGGAGAGCGAGTGAGAGCGAGAGAGAGTGAGTGAGAGCGAGGGAGAGCGAGTGAGAGCGAGGGAGAGCGAGTGAGAGCTAGTGAGAGCGAGTGAGAGTGAGGGAGAGCGAGGGAGAGCGAGGGAGAGCGAGGGAGAGCGAGTGAGAGCGAGTGAGAGCGAGTGAGAGCGAGTGAGAGCGAGTGAGAGCGAGTGAGAGCGAGTGAGAGCGAGTGAGAGCGAGTGAGAGCGAGTGAGAGCGAGTGAGAGCGAGTGAGAGCGAGTGAGAGCGAGTGAGAGCGAGTGAGAGCGAGTGAGAGCGAGTGAGAGCGAGCGAGAGTGAGTCGGAGCGAGTGAGAGCGGGTGAGGTGAGAGCGAGTGAGAGCGAGTGAGAGCGAGTGAGAGCGAGTGAGAGCGAGTGAGAGCGAGTGAGGGAGAGAGAGAGAGAAGAGAAGCAGAAGCTCTCTTTGCGAGTGCAAGAGCAGAGATCTTACGAGTAACGTCCTTTTCTTCAAAGCCCCTCGAGTTGCAGCAATTGTCACAGAAGCCTGCAGCGGATGGCCCATCCCATGGGGTCGTCCGTTACAAGATGCAACACATGGATGGATGGAGCAGAGCACGATTTCATGAACAGTCACGACAGGTTCAGCAATAATGGTTAACAAGATAGCGAGATGAGACCCGTACGCCACGGGTACACAGCGCCAACGGCAGAACGATGGGCTACTCAACAAGCAGAAAGTAGCAGGGCACACACAGAGAGACAACCGGATCAGAACTTCTTACAGTTGAGCAAATCATGCTTGATAAGAATTCTCTCCCACCGGTCCTGAATCCCCAACCCAACCCATTCCCCCAAACGAACTCAGCCCACTATCCCCCCAGCCCAGCCCATCTCCCCCCCAACCCAATCCAGCCCAACCCCCCAACCCAACCCAGCCCATCCCCCCAACCCATCTCCCAACAGGCCAGCATGCCTGTGTGCAGGCTAGCCCAGCACGTACGTACCCCCACAGGGTTGCTCATCCGGGGAGTCAAGGTCAAAGTGGCGCAGCAGCAGCTTGTGCCGACACACACTGCGATTCTGATGCCCCGCACACACACAAATGAGAGGCAGGCAGGGGGGGTGGAGGAGAAGAGTAGGGGGAGTAGGGAGAAACGGAAGGGTGGTGATGAGAAACGTGATCGCAGCGACAAGGCCTTGACGGGGACAGGAGGCCTTGACGGGGACAGGAGGCCTTGACGGGGACAGGAGGCCTTGACGGGGACAGGAGGCCTTGACGGGGACAGGAGGCCTTGACGGGGACAGGAGGCCTTGACGGGGACAGGAGGCCTTGACGGGGACAGGAGGCCTTGACGGGGACAGGAGGCCTTGACGGGGACAGGAGGCCTTGACGGGGACAGGAGGCCTTGACGGGGACAGGAGGCCTTGACGGGGACAGGAGGCCTTGACGGGGACAGGAGGCCTTGACGGGGACAGGAGGCCTTGACGGGGACAGGAGGCCTTGACGGGGACAGGAGGCCTTGACGGGGACAGGAGGCCTTGACGGGGACAGGAGGCCTTGACGGGGACAGGAGGCCTTGACGGGGACAGGAGGCCTTGACGGGGACAGGAGGCCTTGACGGGGACAGGAGGCCTTGACGGGGACAGGAGGCCTTGACGGGGACAGGAGGCCTTGACGGGGACAGGAGGCCTTGACGGGGACAGGAGGCCTTGACGGGGACAGGAGGCCTTGACGGGGACAGGAGGCCTTGACGGGGACAGGAGGCCTTGACGGGGACAGGAGGCCTTGACGGGGACAGGAGGCCTTGACGGGGACAGGAGGCCTTGACGGGGACAGGAGGCCTTGACGGGGACAGGAGGCCTTGACGGGGACAGGAGGCCTTGACGGGACGGAGGGATGCAGGGGAAGGAGACAAATGGTTGGTAATTCAGGTGGGAGATGGGCAGACAGGCAAAACGTGAGGACAAAACGAGGATGTGGATGGAGGGTGGGCAGTGGTACAGGAGAGAGTAATGTCGAAGTGGTATAGGCCGCAACCATGCACATATGTATCAGCCAATCAACACCGTCCAACATTCATCACTGTGCATGAACCATGCAATAGCACAGCATACCATGCAATAGCACAGCATACCATGCAATACCACAGCATACCATGCAATAGCACAGCATACCATGCAATAGCACAGCATACCATGCAATAGCACAGCATACCATGCAATAGCATAGCAGACCATGCAATAGCTCAGCATACCATGCAATAGCACAGCATACCATGCAATAGCATAGCAGACCATGCAATAGCACAGCATACCATGCAACACCACAGCATACCATGCAATAGCATAGCAGACCATGCAATCGCATAGCATACCATGCAATACCACAGCATACCATGCAATAGCACAGCATACCATGCAATAGCACAGCATACCATGCAATAGCACAGCATAGCGAGCAATAGCACAGCATAGCATGCAATAGCACAGCATACCATGCAATAGCACAGCATACCATGCAACACCACAGCATACCATGCAATAGCACAGCATACCATGCAATCGCATAGCATACCATGTGTGACTGAGTCAAGGTGATGGTGCGCCGTGCTCTGTCCCGGGTGATCCGCAAGCCAAGATAGCTTGTCAGCTCACCCAGGTCTGTGCACGTGTGTCTCCTCTGCAGCTCTGACTTCACGTAGGCGAGTCCTGCAGTGTCAGCAGTGGCAAAGACCAAGTCGTCGACGTACACGACGATGTAGAACGGCGGCAGCGAAGTGTCGGTGCGCAGGAACAGCGACGGGTCAGCTGTAGAAGGCGCGAACCCAAGAGCCGCAAGTGTAGTCCTCAGTGTGTCGTGCCACTCACGCGGAGCCTGGCGGAGACCGTAGACCGGCCGCTGAAGCCTCCACTGGGTACCAGGAGGAAACGACCCAGTGAAGCCAGATGGGCGGCGCAGCCAGATCTCCTCGTGCAGGCTGCCCTGCAAGAAAGCAGTGCTGAAGTCAAGTGAGTGAAGCTCGTAGTCGCGGTGAGCGGCTATGTGCAGCAGCACCCGAAGAATAGTCATCTTCGGGGTGGGGGAGAAGGTCTGGAAGAAGTCAACTCCCTCTCGCTGACTGAAGCCTCGAGCCACGTAACGCGCCTTGAAGACAGGCGGAGAACCCGGCGGCCGCTTCACCCTGAAAATCCACATGCCACTGACGATGTTCGCCCCAGGAGGGGGAACCTCGTCGACGTAGGTGCGTGTGGACTTCCAGGAAGCCATCTCTGCGTCCATGGCTGTCTGCCACTGAGAGGAGTAGGGACCCGCCATCGCCTCAGCGTAAGTGCGCGGGGTCGGGATGTCTGGTGCATCCGGTTCTCCCTCAGGGGCAACTAGCAAGGACACGAGACGGGGCAAAGCAGCAGCAAGACACTGGAACTCCTCCTGTCTGTCCTCAAGGACGTCCGTGCCAAGAGCACAATCACCCCCGACGGACGGAGGACAGACAGACTCAGACTCAGACTCAGCAACAAGGCTAGCAGCGTAGTCTAGACGACAGGCAGCAGCAAAGTTAACCAACTCAGCGACCAGAGCAGACGCAGTCGAGGACTCAAAGGTAGGGTCAGTGACAACAGTAGCGAGGAGACGCGTGACAGTAGGATGCTCAGCACGATACCGGTCAGACTCAGGGTCCGGAACATCAGGCAAAGAGGACGCAGGAGGAGACGGTAGAGGGACACGCTGAGGAGCAGTAGAGGGACGCAGAGTCATGTAGTGAGTGCCTGGGACAGGAGGAGGACGCTCACGACGGACACGACTACCAGTGCGAGCAGGACGAACAGGCGACGCAGGACGAGACTCAGGCTCACGACGCTCTGTAAGACCTCCTGTGGGACCAGTGTAAGGAGAGGGAGCAGGGAGAGGCGAGGTAGGCGGTAACTGTGACTGCGGCTGGACAGGCGGAGGACACTCTACGGAGGGAGGAGGACAAGGAGGAGGATGTCAGAATGAACGGACTGGAATGACTGTACTAACAGAAGGTTGGATACAAATAGGAAACCCTAATCCAGTGTACCCCCTAAGGTATAACCCACTACAGCCTACAATCATATAAACATATAATGTTTGACACACCCCCATAGGCGAAGTGGGGAGACCTGGGGGTCACACGACCAGTCAGGGCAAAGCAAGGCAAAGCAAGCTCAGGGTGGATCTCGAGGATTCCACACAAATTCCGAGCACAAGCAAGTGGTCACAAGACCAGTTCACATGCAGGTTTATAACAGAGCAAGAGATACAGTGATCACAACCTAGCAAGAGTAAATATGCAGGTATATATATATAGTGATCACAGTACAAGCAAGGTCAAGAGGTAAGCAAGTGAGGTCCAGTAGGCACAAGACCTAGTAGAGTGCAGAGGCGCTGATGGTCACGAGGCTGAAGCGCCTTGGTGAACACATCAGCAGTGTTGGCCTCAGTGGCCACGTAGCGAATACAAAGCTGACCGCGCTGCTGCAGCTCTCGAGCAAGGAAGTACCGCAGGGCGATGTGCTTCGTTCTGTGCTCCAGTCTGTGCTCCTCACACAAGGCAATGGCAGCCTTGTTGTCGACGTACAGCACTGGAGGAGAACGAGGCCGCTCTCCGAGGTCGGTCAGCAGGTAGGTCAGCCAGCGTAGCTCCTGGGCAGCCATGGCTGTGGCGTAGATCTCAGCCTCGCAACTGGAGCTGAGAACAGAAGAAGAGCGTGTAGAGCGCCAAGACTGAAGGTGTAACCCTGAGACGACCGCTGAGTGGCCTGGTCGTCTGCCCAAGAAGCGTCTGAGTGCCCTGTGAGAACAACTCGGTCTCGCCCTCCAAGCACAAGCCCCATGCCCGACGTACTGCACAAGTAGCGCAACACCCTCTTAGCGGCATCCATGTGCTCCTTCCTGTGATGGCCAGGAGCGACATAGCGTGCAAGGATGCTAAGAGGGTATGCAAGGTCAGGTCGAGTGCAGGTCATCAGGTACATGAGGCAGCCCACAAGCTCTGGATACGGGCCACTCGGCTCTACGGACTCATCCGAAGGCAGAGTTGAGAGCGAGTGACCGGTAGGCAGAGGAGTGGACTGAGGCGAGGAGTACGTGAAGCGGAAGCGCTGGAGAACCTGCTGCACCATGTGTGACTGAGTCAGGGTGATGGTGCGCCGTGCTCTGTCCCGGGTGATCCGCAAGCCAAGATAGCTTGTCAGCTCACCCAGGTCTGTGCACGTGTGTCTCCTCTGCAGCTCCGACTTCACGTAGGCGAGTCCTGCAGTGTCAGCAGTGGCAAAGACCAAGTCGTCGACGTACACGAGGATGTAGAACGGCGGCAACGAAGTGTCGGTGCGCAGGAACAGCGACGGGTCAGCTGTAGAAGGCGCGAACCCAAGAGCCGCAAGTGTAGTCCTCAGTGTGTCGTGCCACTCACGCGGAGCCTGGCGGAGACCGTAGACCGGCCGCTGAAGCCTCCACTGGGTACCAGGGGGAAACGACCCAGTGAAGCCAGGTGGGCGGCGCAGCCAGATCTCCTCGTGCAA